CCACTCACTCTCTCCCTCCCCACCCAATGGAATGGGGGAGAGAATTGAAAAAAAGGTAAAACTCGGGGGCTGATGTAAAGACAGTTTAATAGCACAAAAAGGAAGAAAATACAATAATTATAATAATAATTATAATAACAACAACAAAAATAATAATAATAAAACAATTTGAATATACAAAACAAGTGATGCACAATGCAATTGCTCACCACTCGCCGACTGATGCCCAGTTAGTTACCGAGCAGTGACACACACCCCTGGCCAACTGCCCCCAGTTTATATACTGGGCATGATGTCACACAGTATGGAATACCCTTTTGGCCAGTTGGGGCCAGCTGCCCTGGCTGTGTCCCCTCCCAACTTCTTGTGCTCCCCCAGCCTTCTTGCTGGCTGGGCATGAGAAGCTGAAAAACCCTTAACTTAGTCTGAACACTACTTAGCAACAACTGAGAACATCAGTGTGTTATCAACATTATTCTCATGCTAAATCCAAAACATAATACTGTACCAGCTACTAGAAGGAAAATCGACTCTATCCCAGCTGAAACCGGGACAGACCAGTAGCTGGGAATTTTGAAAAGAAATGTTACCCTTTGATAAAAACTAGTCCCAAAGTCAGATTTTTCGACAACTCTATGTTGAGGAGTGATTTTACACAAGTAAAACTGTGTTTCTTTCCAGAAGACAGAATTTCTTCACTTCATTCTTTATTCTCATGATACTGTGGAGTTTTAGAGTTTATCTTTTACATTGGTAACCTAATGAAAATGTTTCTAAAAACTGAATAGGCCACAGTGTAAACAGCTGCAGCTTGGAGATTATAGATATTAACAAAGAATGCCTTTTTGGTCCAAGTTTTTTCAAATATGGAAAGGACTTTTTTCACTCAGAAAAGTCAGTAAAGGGATAAGCACAGCTGGCTAAATAAATGTTAGGATGTACAGCAAAAAGTAAAGCAACTAATCTACTTGCTAACCATTTGTGAATGATAACCATGCTTTTCTTTCACTCACCTTTCCTTTGAGGAGTAAAATCTAAGCAGTAATATGAAATAATCATAAAAATATTTGTCTGTCTATGGTTTCACTCTGACTCTTCCCACAACTCTTCTTTTGTTTTCTTTTCTGGCTTTGATTATGAAGATCTCAGCAGCTTTTGCAAAAATTTGCATTGAAAAACATGGTCAATGTTTGACCAGAATGAAAGCATCTCTGGAAAATTTACCTGCCTTTTGTCATTAGGTCAGGATTGAAGTTGCTCTGCCCACCTCATGGCCTAGCCCTTTTTTTGTTTGAAGTCACCATTTACCCAGGGCATGTGAGAGAGATTGTTCAAGATTTTATTGTCTCAAAGCTTTTGAAATTTTTACCAAAATGTTCTAGACACCACAGTTGAGTAAAATTAGTACAACTATAAATACTGAATATGATCAATTAGGTATGTAAAAAATTTGAATTTTTTAACAACTGTACAAGTCCTAGCTATGAAGATGTTTCCTGAAGTTCAGCAATGAAAAAAACATTACAATGAAAAAAGACCTTACTCTTTTTGGATACCTCACCTGTTACTCCTGCTTATCTTCTCTATGTACCTAGCAAATTATTAAGAATCATATTGCTATGTATTTGCCTTCTGTGTATACAGTAAGCAGTGCTGTTGATTAATATTTTTATAGAACCCAAAAAGCCCTTTCTGGCCTAGCCAGGCTTCATGACAATTTCAGAGCAGATTGAGCATTGCTGTGTTGTTATTTGAAGCACAAAAAGGCTCTGAATGCTCTTCCTTGTGACTAGGATTTCATGGCAAAGTTACTTAACACTGGTGTGGGAAGGCTTTCTTTTGGTAATGAAAAGTTTTATTTATTTGCCATAACACTCCATTTTTTTTACTGCTCAGACTTCTGTGTATATTCCATGGTAAATACTGATGTCTGGTGTCAGCACAGAACTACTACTGCCTGTAAGATACCCATTTATATTGACCCATATTACTTTATGCTACAGATAGGAACATTTTTCTATATCAGAAAGCATAAAGCTCAGCTGAAAGCTTCTCCTGCTAGCAAGACCTCTGGTTTCCTTTACCTGTATTAGAATCCAAGGAAAACACTTTGAGAGGGTGATGTTCAAGCTTTCTGCTTCCTTAGTAAATTTCTGGGGAATGAGTGAAAACACCTCTAGTGTTTTGAGGAAAGGATTGAAGAAAATAATTATTATATACGAAACTTTTAAAAAATCTTCATTTCTCAAGTTTATTTATTTTCTCTATTTCAGTCATGTGTGTGATGAAATAACAGTGGTTCATTGTGCTAGCTGCCTGCAAAGTTGTAAAGATACACAATACAATGAAAAAAAATTTTCCTTAGTCTGTACCAAAAAACTAGTTTTGCATACTTATTGTGCTATTGAGCTCCTTTTCCAGATTTCTGTTTTAATACAATAAAATGGTTTCCTTTCCTAGTTTCTCAGGCCTGCTAACCAAACCAGCAGCATTCTTTCAATAAATTCATAAACTTCTACCATTAAAAAGGGAAGTGAGAAGCACCCAGGAAAATTATGTTTACGTCTTCAAATGAGAATTAACTTGCTTCATGTATTAGTCACACTAGGAAAAAATGTAAAACTCATTTATATGTGAAACTCAGTGAAAGAATTAGGCTTTTTGATTGGTCTTCCTATAACTAAAAGAAAGAGAGTCTAGAGTTCATGTAGAAATACTCAGATGGAACACAGAGTTTCTTAGTGCTATTCTTAGGAAGCAGCTTTTCAGTTATTGTAAATTTTTCTCTCTGTTATTAGTCAGTAGAGTTTTGGCAACACATATTTTCTTGAGCTTAGCACTGTTAGTCTAATATCGTAAAAACACCCTAGAAATTAAGAGTACGAGTCTTTAATTCCTTCTTGCAGCTGGAGGAATCACAGAAGTGGATAACAGATGTCCAGGCTTGTTATCAATTGAAATGGCAGGATGTGATATCCTTCAGACACATAACATTTCTTAAAAGTCCGTGTCTTCATGTAAGTATTTAAACTAACCAGAAATGGGAAGGGGTTTGCTATAAATCAAACATTAAGTAGACTAGTGGCTGATCCTGACAAAAAATATCAGTGAGTTCCCACCTTTGTTTAGCAAAAGGTCCTTTATCTACAGGGAAATGGCATAGTTTGTGTTTTCTATAGTGGGTTCAGGATTTGTCTTGGATGTTGGGGTGGGGTGTTGCTTTTAGTACCTTGTCAGTTTACTAACAAAATATATTTCAGAGGAGGAAATTTTACACTAAAATGATCAAGTCAGTGTTAATCTAGCATTCTTCAATGAGAAAACCGGTTTTAAAAATGATCTAATGTGTTGCCAGAAGAAGAGGAACAATAGCAATAAGTATTTGTGTCTTGGCATAGTGAGAGGGTAGAACTTTCTTCCAACCACGCAAGTGCAGACTACAGATTTTAGGATTGCAGGGGCTGGATTTGAAAATTATTCACTCCCTTGTTTTCTCTGCCATCTTCCCTCTGATAGTAAAAGCATGTCCAAAACTGGCAGGAGGAGAGAAGGAAGAAAGGAAGAGAGAAACAGCTGAGGCATGCAGTAATTAGCAGGCACTTACATCAAACTTGTTAAAGATATTTGCAGCTATTTTTGCCGGTGAGTAGTGTGCAGAGAGAAGCAATTAGTCAGTGAAATTGCTCTACTCACAGTGCAAATACAAATAGAACAAACATGCTGATTTCAAAACCTGGGGCATCAAAAAAGATTCTGAACACTGAAAACCAGAATACATCATTAAAAGTAATGCGCTCGTTACTGAAAAAAACAAAACAAAACAAAACAAAAACTAGTCCTCCTTTTTAAGCAATAGTTATGAGATTCAGAAAGCATATATTGCAACTGTATGATTTATAATATCAACATAGTTGGAAGATTCCTCAGAAAGATCCACCATCTTATTTTTCATGTAACTGTTCTTTATTTCCAATAATATATTCACTCACACTAGTCCATTCTGTCTTTATTCCTAAAACAGAACATCATGTTTTTCTCTTTCACAGGATGAGGCAAAACTCATGACAGTTTCAATCCCCATGTAGAAAGCTGGGAATTTAAGCACCTAATGTGTACATAAATATATGTTGCTGTATTTCGAAGATACAGAACACTTCCTCATTTTTGTTGTCCTTGAAGACAAAAATTATATTCATTGAAATCTTCTTTGACGTTAGTGTCTGTAATTCTGCTGCTAATTTCAGTGAATTTACACAGAACAAGCTGTAAATACAAAGTCTATAGGCAACCAAAAACTCTTACCAAAAGGTAAGAGACTCAGCTGATAGTTCTAAGAGTATAACTTTGCCCTACTGCAAATAGCAAGCCTGAAATCCTGCATTAGAAAACTCTTCACTTAAAGGTGAGTAATCTGAGGACAGATAACCAAATGACCCCATGCCCTAAGATTTGGCATGCCCACTGAAAATGCATAACCGATATTTGTTGGAGGTGTGGGATTTGTTCCTTTTCCTTTGTTTTCTCTTGCCAGATAAAGTCCTTACCCACTATGAAATTTAGAGACACAATAACATTGCAGAAACAGTGACTTGCGAATAGCTGTAAAAAAGACAAAAACTGTGTTGACCTCTCAAAGATCTGGGTGGGGAAGATTTTCCCCCAAGCAAGTGAGGAAAGCCAGAAGTCATATAAGTAGACACATTTGCCTTTGGGATGGCCCAGAGATATGAATGCCTCTTGTGGCTTGCAGGAATCCTCCTTTCTTGTCTCAAGAAACATTTAATGCAGTTTCCCACGCTGGCCAAAAGGGGCTGTGCCAGGGGAGCGAGAAGGTGGAGCTATGAGTGAGCAAGAGCAACCTGAGAGTGACTACAACAAACTACATTTGAAGTGATACTCACCGACCCTGTGGATGGATTAACCAGGTGCTTGCTGCTGTTGCCCTGTGCTGCAAGTAGCTTTCAACATCCACCCAAAACTCTCCTGCCCATGCTAGCCACATGGAGCTGAAGGAGACCACCCGTGATCACTCAGGAGTGCACAATTTGGCCTTCCAGGTAAGTGTGGTTTCCTTTGCTTTGTGGGGAAGAGGAAGCACTTAAAAACGATAAACCGTGCTTACTTAGAATCATAGAATCGTTTAGGTTGGAAAAGAGCTTTAAGATCATCGGGTCCAACTGTAAATTCTTCAGTCCCTGTACAAAGAGAAAGCAATTTCTGCTCTCTGCCTGCAGATGTTTTACAACACCCCACATGGTTTGCACTGATATCCTGCCAAAGTACATGGCTTTTGTATAAAAAGCTGGATCACAATCGACACATTCAGGAGTAGGCTGTGCTTATTGCCTTCATTTCCTGCCTGGTATACTGCTATCTTCCAAAGTCTTCTGACTCAGTAATATTTCATAGGCTGATGGATCTCACAACTAGCTCATCCACCTCCTATCTGGTCTATCGGTTGATGCTTTTTCCTGAGGATAGGTAATTCACAGTTCTGTTGAAGAGGAGGTCATCATTATGCAGCAGACAAATACCTTATCAAAGCAATGTATATTAATGAGAAAAATAATAATGTAATCACATTAGGATATATCTTCTTTCTTCCAAGCATAATGTAAGTGCAATTGTCTTGTTCTGCTCCCAGGAAGAGCACAGAGAGGAGGTAAGTAGCCAACCCAGAAGATTCTGTGTATTACATGCATAAAGTAATGTTAACAGCCATTTTTAAAATGCAGGTTTCAAAAGCAGAAGCACCAAGTTAACCAGGTAGTTATTGGTTCTCAGTGCCCAGCATCCCTGTGCTTTCATTTGAATTAGAGCAGGGACAAACAGAAATTTGTAAACCCACAGCCAGGCCAGGCTGTTTCACTGTAATTGTCACTGAAGATAGAACAGCTCCGGGAGAAACAGTGGCTCTAAGGAGTGGTGTGTTAGCAAAGTATCTCTTGCTTTCCTCCACTGCCTCTGATCCTTACACTGCCCCTGAGCTCAGCTAGCAGGAAGGGTAGCACGTGAATGGGCGTGAATATCAGCCAACACTATTCAAATAACACAGAAAGGTCTTTGTAGATGCTAAGCATGTGGAATATTATGTAATGCCAGTGACATCCAACCACTCTGTATATTTATTCATTGGGCTATAGAGACAGACAAGGAATAGATTGATTTGATAATCTGCCAGTCAGGGAATATTTGTGGAATGTAAGGGAGTTAGGGTCAAGTCCCTACTCCAGTCATTAGTTAATAATTCACGCTGAGTGGGACAGTTTCAAGAGGAGACAGAGATAACTCTTAAAACACGATAGCCCAGTGGTTAAGGCATTCTCCTGGGTAATCAGAGCACCCCCAATACATCTGTGCTTCAGAGCAGATAGACAAGATAGCAATTTGAACTTGGGTCTCCTTCAGTTCAAGTGAATGAGATAAAAGAGGGCTTCGTCTTGGCTGCATTTTCACACAAAATATGTGCCTAAGATAGTGCAGTCAGCTTCCAAAGTCTGTGCCTACAGACTTCCAAAGTCTGTGAAGGAAGAAAGAAGTCCCTCCTTAGCTGCAGAAGCTCTCTGCCGAATGCTCTTGAATGACCTAAGCTGAAAATCTCCTCAGTAGTCTCTGTGGAGCACAGTACTGTGACTCAGGTTAATCCTCTGCCTTATGCAGGTAGTTCACCTGGGCAATGTGCAGGGAACCTAGGTGCTTCCTTTTCTGTCCATTGCAGAGGTCTGCAAGAGCCTCTATTTGAATTTAAATAATTCAAATGCCAAAATCATGGAGACTATCCAACAATGAAACCTGGGGCCCGAGTCAAGTTTTCTGGTTACTTTTTTGTCCTGGAACACCACCAGAAGGTGTTCAAATTTACATTTACACTGTCTATCTCTGACTCAACATATAAGTCACTCCCTAGAGAAAATAAGGCACAAAAGGAAATAGGTAAACTTCTGCATATAGAAAAATAAATCACTTCACAGTAGAAGCCACTGAGAAGAAAACAATCTCATCATTTTTTCTTACTTTCTTGTATTTGAGTTTTTCTTGCACAAAGAATGAATGCTTTTCTACCTCCAACATACCGTGTCTTCTAGTACTAAGCAATGAGTATCTTCTCTAAACCACAAAATATAAAAAGTTCTGGAAAGGGATTAATTTAAGCCATTTTAAGTGTCTGTGGGATTGCACTCCATAGGTACCTTCAGATGTACCTGAGCCATTCAATGATTAATGCACAAAGGGATAGAAAAAATAAGACACAGATAAAGTAAACTCAGGTTAGGTAGGTTGTTTTATAAAGCAAATAAGTTAAGAGAACAGCTCTTAACGTAATACAAAGCAGATCAAGGCTAACAAATGATGGATGAAGGATCATATCAGAGCTTTATTATGTCAAGAATGAGAGGCATTGTGCCTTCTGTTGTGGAGAGACTCTTTAACAGGACCAAAGGGTTGTAATACCAGAGTAATCTGCTTTTCAACTAGTCGTACAAATGGTCAAAGGGGGGTAACTGTTTGAGCTCTTCTCAATTTCACATTGGCTATTGATATTTAAACACAAACAGCCTTCTGTACTATGATAGGATTTTCACTGCATCACAGAAGCATAAAACTTTTTTCAACTGTACTGTAGCAGACCCTCAGAAACCAGTTAACCAATGTTAACTTTCAGAGAGGGCACGCATCCATGTAGCGTAGGCTTCTATTAACACCATCAATTACATTTCAAAAAATGCATGATCCTGCAAAATATCAGCTACTTCTTCTGTACACTACGCAGATTCCACTAGAACTGTTTATAGGCATAGCATCAAAAACTGCACGTCCTGTGTTATTGCCTTCTGATAATGCCAGTACCTGGGAGACTCAGAAGCAACTTTTAATGTCATTAACAGCTCAAAACAGTCTCAGAAGAAAACAGACAACAGAAAACAGACAACTCTCTCTTTGATGTTAGGGACATCTCAGTTACTAACGCCATTTGGGTGTATTACAATGAGTAAGCTTCCTGTACTGGTTTTAACAGTATGCATAGCTCTAGCCACACTGCCAGTCTTCCCAAGCACGCTCCTACTCTTCAGCGCAACATAACGTTAATAAAACCCCAATGCAATTGCTAAGACCTACCTGCTAAATTTACCTGCTTTGGATGCTACCTCATAGCTAGAATCAACAGATTGCCACACTGTTTATACCCAGACATTCAGGTTTTTAACATTTTTTTTTCCCCTTAAATATGTCATGCAGTTTAAGGAACCTAAATCATTATCCTCATAGTCTCATCGCAATTCAGAAGATTGTTCATGTTAAGTGTCTACATGCTAATGTAATACATTCTGTATCTATATCTACAGTAATATCATACATAATGTACAGAAATACTACTGTGTCTCTTGCATTCAATGTGGTTCAGTTAACTTCTCTCTGATGGCACCAGCTTGCGCATCACTATAGCTGCCCACAGAATTTTCTGCTCAGAAACCCTGCAACACTAACAGTAACCCTAAAACTGAGATTGGATTTACCTAGCTTGTGTTTAGCCCTTATTTAAGAGGCAAAGGTTTTACCTAATCAGTTCTGATGCTTCAGATGTCTGCTAATGATGACATTAAACAACGAGTCACACTTATTCCTCAGGGAATTATAAGAGTTGGCTCATAAAAAGGAATGGTATGTGAGATGAAAAAACTCCCTGACTTTTAAAGGGAACTCAGAGGTAAACACAAAATAAATGCAATGCAAAGGGAAGATAACAGCTGATAAATATTTATTGTTCACTGGCCTCCTATTGTCAGCGTTATGATGCATTAAGTAGTCGGTACCTGTTTCTGTAGCAGAGCACACCATACTCTTAAGAAGCTGACTTGAAGAAGGAGCCCCTTTAAAATTCTGCCTTTTACTCACGCTGCATAAGGATATTGGTACTGCCATAACATATGCAGCTTTTGTACTCCATTTCATTCAAACAGGCTTAAAACATATCCTAAAAAATGCCATTTATTTCTGTGTTTATCACCATTCTCCACACTTCCTAGATACTCTTGTCTGGTTGGTTAATTAAGACTATAGGCACTATTAAGAATTTACATTTCATGGGCATTGTTGTTGTAATTTCCCTTTAAATTATGAAGACATTGCACTGCATAACTCCATCAGATCCAGGCAGGAAATTATGCAGTCCTTTTCCAAATTCTCAAAACTTGCTTTCCAAAGCTATGCTTTTTGGGGAAAAAAAAAAAATTAACTGTGACATACTACCTGGTCTCTTACAGGAAACAGTGAAAGTTAGTTATACCTTTAGGGTCTTTGCTTCTCATGCTAAGTAAATATTCCTTGTGAAAACCATTTTTAGGATTCTTGTCCTTGTTATTCTCATTGCGTTCCTGCTTGCCATCAACAGATGTTTTGAATGCCATCATTGCAGGGGTCATGTGCACCTTGCTATCTTCTCAGGAATGTGCAGATCTTTTTTTCCTGTTTCAGTTTTTCTGGATTTTGCTTTCTGCCTCCCATACATTTTGCTTGCTTTGAGAGCAAAAGGATTTCCTATTTCTTTTATTATGGCCAGCTTGTGCCAGTGTATCATTTTAACTTGTTTATCCTGCATTTCAGGAAACTATCCAACTATCCTACTCAATACTGACAGCTTAAGCTTTTAAAGAAAACAGTAATGTTCTCAGAGGTGGGTGAGCCTAATTTGCAACCCATTTCAAAACACCTCATGAGGATTTAGCAAGCTGAATTTAAATCTGGCATTACATGTTTCTTATCTGCTGTCTCTACAGCTCATTTACTATAATTTAACACATGGATAATGAACATTCATCCCTCCTGCCCTGTACACTGAATTTTATCATTTGACAGGAATTTATGAATGCTGTGATTATTGATTGAAAAAAATTTCCTCAATATTTAAAATGCATTTTAACTCCTTCAGAATCATGACATTCTGGCTAGCAAAAGGTAGTACATGGGGGAAAACTTCGATGAATGATCTTCAGTTACACTGAATATTAAAAGAATAACAAAGTTTTGAACTGTAAATCAGATGGCTTCATTTCAGCTGACTGAATGCAATCAGAAATCCAATGAAATCCAACATGATAACTGAAAATATTTGCTTTTGAAGCATCTGTTTTCCACTGAGTTCCTTAAGTACTCTGATTCTAATCTCCAAAGCTAATGTAACTACCCACCCTTAAACCATAAAGAGTTTAAGCAGCTGCCTGGATGCTCTCTCTGGTAGCCACTCTGTTTTCCTCATTAACTGGCAGGGGCAGAAAACCATCTACTCTAAAGTGTGTGCTGTGGTTAAAAGCACAACCAATAAAAGTTATGAGCTCTTTGCAAAGCCAACCGTCCCTCGAAAGGCAGGGAGGAGATAGAAGGGAAGGTCAAAGAATGTCGTTATGCAAAAAGACAGGGCAAGTGAGCTGCTCATCTAGAGGGAACACAACAAACATTGAAAGAGCACTTGACTTACAAGTATGCGATAGCTCTATGCCCTTGACTTTTAATTTGATGTTTTACAAGCAGGAAATTCTGATCAGTAAAAGTACATCAGACTGTGAAGGCAGAAGTGCAACTGTGAAACGCTTTTCATATTGTCAACATTCAAAGTAAATGGATCAATTATGTAATCCTTCCAGTGTGGCCAAAAGGAAAGAGAATTTTCCCATCCAAGTTTCTCTAATTTGGTTTTAACTTCCTGCTTCCTTATGTCACTACAGATTGAGTAGGTTCAGGAGTGACTTGGCGTATTGCAGGATCTGGCCTGTGCTCACAACAGTGCTGTGCTAGCTATAGTCCCTAAGGCTTGAACTCTCATTTTCTGTTGCAATGTTTTGCTCTGCAGGCATTTCCAGGGAGGTGGAAAATGATACTGAGAAAATGAGGTAGAAGCTTTTCAGTCCGTGCTGGGTGCTTAGGTAGCAATCTGCAACAGCAGCTGACAAGCACAGACAGATTAACATTTTGGTGAGGAGTTCCTTCAGCAAACTCAGAAAGACTCTAAGCAAATAGCAAAAAGACAGTTTTGTTTGTCAATTGAATATTGCTATTTGTATGAGAAATTTAAAAGAATTCTTTTTCTTCAAGGGGTGGGGCTAAATAGCATGCATTTTCACCAAACAAAATAAAACAATTGTATAAGGGGGTGGATGAAGAGATTGTACTTGAAGAATGAGCTGTGAAATATAAGAAAATTGCTCAGCTTCATGGCACTTATTCAAAGACTGTTTTAGTCAACAGAAGTAGTCTCTAACTGAAGTAAACCTGTTATCAATAGTAATTAACCAGTTTCTACTGAATTTGGAATATGCCAGAAATGTGGTATGATCATTTGAAATGAGTGCTTTTTATGCTTGCAGAAAATAACACAAATCTATCATTCTGCAGTGCAGGCTATTTAGAGTTCCAGCAATCATGTGATGCTCTTACTAGTTTTCTGTTACATTACTCATACATTCATATATTTTAATTACTCTATAAATGAAACTCTTATGTAATTATTGCAGTTGAGCAGTGGGTTGGACAAAGTGACTTCTAGAGGTTTCTTCTAATGCAAATTATTCCGTACTTCTGTTGCTTCTAAATAGCAACTCACATGCTTGCTGTTTTTCACATGTTTTCTGACGAAAGTCCTAAGAAATCTTTGCTTTCTCTTGCTCAGCAACTAGTATAGAAATCTTCAGAGAGGCTATCCCCAGGGGTGGGTGGGTGTCAATTACAGAACTGTGCCACTTTGACTTCACTATGCTGTCCTGTATAGTATTTTTAATATATTACATCTCAGTGCTACAGTTAAGCACTGCTTCTTGTGATAATTCTTTTTTTGCACTGTATGGAGTGTTCAGTAGAGGCTTTCATTGTCAACTGCAGGGCAGCTATGGCAAACTCCTAAGACAGCATGGTTAGAAGGCAAACAAGTAACAGGGATGCTTTTTGAAAAATAAATACCTCCTTCTTAAGGGAATGCAAAAATACTCTTCTCTTAGAAGGAAGGGAACTGATGTAGCGGCATCTGGTTTATCAGTGCCACAGCAGGTGAATCAACAGCTTCTTGCGACTTCCTTCTCTTTCCCCAGACACACAATGTTACAGAAATGCTTTTACTGAAATGGATGTTTTATCATGTTTGGAAGCAGAGTATCTTTAAGGCAAATATGTTACTGAAAATAAAAGTGTTCTGGTTGCTTCTAGGGTCATGTTTCTGCTAAAAAGCAAAATTTAATTTATGTCTGGTAATACTGCTTATTCCTGCCTTTATCAAAATTTACTATGATTAAGCTTATTTTGTATTGTTCATTTGGAAATGATCATTTTCTTAGAGGGCTAAATGTAGATACTAATTTACTGGTTTTATTACCATGTAAATAATGAGATACTGCATGCAATATAACACAGTGAAGTGACCATACCGTAACTGCTGCCATAAGAAACCACTGAAATATAAAACATTTATATCAATTGCGGATATGAGTTATCTGACACTTTGTTTAAGCGGCTTTCTTATGAAACCAAAATAAGAACCAGCCCTTCAAGGATCATTAAAAAGAAGTAATGTACTCTTCAAAACACTAAGAAACAAGAAAACTCAGCTTCAGAACAACAACAAAAAAAGTAGAAGTAGTGGACCTGGTTATGGCTGTCTTCAACTCTCAGTGCACTCTGATAAAAGGTACACCGCAGAGAATTAATGTAGTAAAGTTAACTGCTCTCTTTAAACATACTCTGAGTGTTTTGTTCCAAGAGCAACAGAAGTATGTATTTTAAAAAAATATGTATTTACTGCATATGCATAAGGAGCATATGCACTGCAGCAAAGATACTAACAACCTGGGAAAGGCCCAAATAGGCCGTTGCCCTTGGTGTGGAGACGGGCTCTATCTTTGTAAACTTGTTGAACCAGTCCTGAGGCAAAGGGCAGCACCAGGAACACATGTGAGTTTGGGTCAAGAAAACAGCAGAATCACATTATTCAAGCACCATCCATGACTGACGCAGCTTTATGTAATAGTGCAGGGACTTGAACTCCTGAGCTCTGTACACTGAGTTTCGGGCTCCCTGTACTGGTAAAGTAAAACAGGGAAGAACAGGCATCAGAGTATAAATTAGTTCTTACTGCACAGTAGAAAGCTTTCGGCTTTTCATTTGAACAACACAATTTCTGGTCTTGTCATGCCCCAGAACGACAGTGAAGGTGTGCGTGTTTTAAGACCAAAAGGTCTCAGAGAGAGTTCACAGAGAATCAAGAATTCACCAGATAGGAAAACTGTACATACTGATGAGGTATGTTTTTTTTCTTTTTTTTTTTCTTTCAAATAACCTTATGTAAATTTATAAACCTCAAATTCAATGTCAGTAATTGGCTGTGATATCCAAGACAGATATTTTAACAAAACCTGATTTTTTTTTTAAATTCATAAACTGACAGGGAAGTGAGTTCTGTTCTCAGAAATACATTAAGAAAAAAACACAGAAAATGGGACGTGTAGGATTCAGAAAAATTATTTCTAATGTCAAAATGGCTTCATACAAGATACAAAAGAGGCATGAGGAATGGTCATCAGAGGGAATACTACGGACTAGGAGTTAATATAGAAGGAAGAAGAGAAACTGGAAACATTTGGTTTAGTGATACAATCTTTCAGTCAGACAGGGAATACATGTTATTAAATACCTACTCATCCAGAAGAGGGGAAATTTCAGACAAACACAAACTGGAGGCAACAGCTCTGACATACAACTGACTAGAAAAAGGAGAATACAATACAGATGACTTCATAATAAACACATCCATTTTGATTTCTTTTGACTGTACATTTGTTTAACCCCACATAGTGAGTAGCTCACTATGAAGACATGAGAGTGAGGTTAAAAAACAGAGGTATTTTACTAGTGTCATGTATTAATATTTTCACATCCACACCCCAGAAATAAATAATCTGCTACTCTAAAAGTTCCGTTAAAAACTAGTACTTTCCCATGTTGTTATCATATCTACTTGCCAAGTTTGTTGATGGTACTTGAAGCAGCACATAAGAAATAGAGAGTTCCTGATGCTGTGGATATTCTTTTCTGTCTTCCAATGGTTTTTGCATATGATCAGAGGCAGTAAAGGCATGTTGCCAAAGAAATGCCTCTGCTCTCAGAGTTGAAGTGATTCTAGATTTTCAGTGATTTACAGGATCGCTGGGACTGTTCTGATATGCACTCCTGGGAGCTGGGCTGGGATCTGCAATCCTAGGAAAGGAAGGTTGTAGTCAGTGCCCATACCTTCCTCTTCAAAAAAAGCCAGCAAAAAGGAAAACGTCAAACACAAAAAAGAATAAAAGGACTTTCAGAACTGATTGAAACTGTTGAAAATGGAGAGAAGTAGTGGCAGTCAATGAAAGCTTGATTTAATCAAAGAAAATAATTTCCCACTGAAAAGGTTCAGCTGAAAGCTTTCAGCCACTACTTTATGCAAATGTAGTAGAGATACGTGTACCCACACCAACACTTTCTCAGGCACACTGTGACTGAGGCAGAAGAGTTTGTTCTGAGGCTTTGAGAGTATGGACTTTGCTGTGCCCCTGCTGGCACAAGTCCACACGCTCCACACAGCCCTTGGGTTAGCCTCAGCAAGGGCCAACACTCCCCAAGAACCAGATCTGGTATTGTGTTTGGCCATGAAAAAAAGAATAAAAGGGGTTTGGATCCATTCTCCCTTTTCCTTGTGTATCTGCACAGTTAGGCACAAAGTGATCTTTGATTTCAGACTTTCTCAACACCTTTTAATGTAGACGTAGGAAAGCATTTGTGACAATAAAATAGCAACCTAATAATATTCTGAGCATATTTAAATACCTTGTAGACTCACACTGTGATGCAAGATTGATGCTTTTTATATTGAACTATTCAAAAGAAAAAAATAGGTTATTCTCAAGACAAACAGTGTATTTCACAAATTCAGAAAGCCAGAGACCAAGCTGTGGGTGATCCAGGCAAGCTCCTGGCCCAGGGAGGATGCTGTGGCATGGGGAAAAGCAACAGGGGAGCACGGTCTGTCCGGAGAAGCATGTGAAGTGGGTGCACTGGGGATGGTGGGGGAGTTAGAGGCAGGAGGTGTGGGACATGGGCTTCAAGCTGTGACCAGGAGAGAGGGCATGGTGCCACAGGGAGCGCAGATGCCTGCAAATGTGAAAGTATGGCTTTTCAACCCAGAGGGCTGGACTCTCCTGATTTATAATGTAGGTTCAAAAATCTGTGAGGTATACTGGCATGCATTATACCCCCAATTTAAGCCCAGGAATAAATGATATTTCAATACTATCAGCACTTGGTGTCCCTCAGGTGAGAAGCCCACATTCTACAGCTGCTGCGAAGAGTGCTCTCAGTTACCATAAGTAATAGCAACTTAGTAGGCGGCAGCATCTGCATTTTTCAGGTTTGCTTTATTTCACAGTCAAGACCAAAGAGAGAACGAAATCGAGTTTTGCAAAAATGCGGCCTTAAGTTACGTTGCAGCTCCACAGAGCCACAAGACTCCCACCCCCTACCCCCGCTTCCAAAAACTGCAATTGAGGACTGAGACATTCCTGTTTGTGTCACGCTGAGCTTTCTACTAGAGGAATGAATAGTGGCTTCTACATACATACTCTTCTGCACCATTTTAATTACTGCCCATGTGTTAATTTTGGCTTTGAGCTGGTTCAGTTCTCTCAGAAGGAACCAAGCGAGGGCTTGCTGGGACTTTCGGACATGCCTGCAGCAGGAAAGCGAGACAGAAGTCAGGGACCAGGGCGAGGTCTGCTCTGGGCCTTGCTTCACACAGCCCTTTCGGGAATGGGTCTAGCATAAATAATAGTGACACAAAGAGAAAAGGTAAATTCACCTGCAGAATGCCACGTCTCCAAGTGGTGGGGCACAGCGGGCCAGCTCTTCTCAAGAAGGTAGGACATGACCACCAGCTCGGGAAAACACTGTCTGCCTTCACTGTGGCCCTGGCTGGACACCCAAGGGCAGGCAGCCTGTCACGCTGCCCTGGCACAGCATTAAAATGAGGAGGCATGAGCGTGGCCATGTGCAGTTACGCTCCTGCCTTTGAATGCAACAGGCGCCTGCCCTGGGTCCCCGGCCCCTCCATGGGCCCCGCCATGAGCATGGAGGTATGTACCCGTGGGACAGGAGCTTTCTCTCTGCCCCTCCGGACCAGGCCAGGGGAAGGAAGGTGGGGTGGGCACGGCAGCCCCTGGCAGTGTGCACGCAGCTTCGGGGGGGCTGTGCTGCTCCCAGCCGCCTCAAGGACAGTCCTTGAACACGGTGGAGGTCAGACTGTGGTTGTTCAAAACCTTTAATGCAGCTGGCTTATGTGGATTCAGGTAGCAAAAAGGTGTGTTCCTGATGAAAATGTGTTATCTGGGTAAAAAACTGGCTGGATGGCCGGACCCAAAGAGTGGTGGTGAATGGAGTTAAATCCAACTGGTGGCCAGTCACAAGTGGTGTTCCCCAGGGCTCAGTTTTGGGGCCAGTTCTCTTTAATATCTTTATCAATGACCTGGACAAGGGGATCAAGTGCACCCTCAGTAAGTTTGCAGGCAACACCAAGTTGGGTGGGAGCGTTGATCTGCTTGAGGGATCTGGACAGGCTGGATTGATGGGCCAAGTCCAATTGTATGAGGTTCAACAAGGCCAAGTGCCGGGTCCTGCACTTGGGTCACAACAACCCCATGCAGCGCTACAGGCTTGTGGAGGAGCGGCTGGAAAGCTGCCCAGCAGAGAAAGACCTGGGTGTACTGGTTGGCAGCCGGCTGAATGTGAGCCAGCAGTGTGCCCAGGTGGCCAAGAAGGCCAACGGCATCCTAGCCTGCATCAGAACTAGTGTGGCCAGCAGGACGAGGGAAGTGATCGTCACCCTGTACTCGGCACTGGTGAGGCCGCACCTCGAGTCCTGTGTTCAGTTTTGGGCCCCTGACTACAGGAAAGACATTGAGGTGCTGGAGCATGTCCAGAGAAGGGCAACCAAGCTGGTGAGGGGCCTGGAGCACAAGTCTTATGAGGATCAGCTGAGGGAACTGGGGTTGTTCAGTTTGGAGAAGAGGAGGCTGAGGGGAGACCTTATCGCTCTGTACAACTACCTGAAAGGAGGTAGTAGCAAGGTGGGTGTTGGTCTTTTCTCCCAAGTACCAAGTGATAGGACAAGAAGAAATGGCCTCAAGTTGCACCAGGGGAGGTTTAGATTGGATATTAGGAAAAATTTCTTCACTGAAAGGGTTGTCAGGCATTGGAACAGGCAGGTGTGGTGCTTAGGGATATGGTTTAGTGGTGGACTTGGCACTGTTAGGTTAATGGTTGGATCTGATGATCTTAAAGGTCTTTTCCAACCTAAATGATTCCATGATTCCATGACTCTATGATTCTATGATTGGCCAAATTTCAAGTTTTTGCTACAAAGCACATGGATGTTAGCTCACTTTAAAGGACTATTACCTGTTACCTTTTCTCAGCAGCTTTTCTTAAGAATAAATTTATTGGCTTAGTTAAATTTTTAAAACAATAAGCTTCCCTGCCCCCCCTCAATTTAACCATTCCTCATACATAAAATTTCCACCATATTAAAGCTCTGCAAAGAGGGAAGCCACAAAACAGGGGGTCGTCAACAGGAGGTGCTGGGCAAGCTGGCTAGTTAGAAGCTCTACCATCCCTACCTGCAGCTCTCACTTTTCAGCGTATATGCAGTGGTACTCTGTACGGGGCCCTCTTCAGCTCTGAGTAACACTGGTATTTTTTTTCCCCTTTATTTCCCCTTTCAAAATTATGTGAATGGCTTGGAAATGTTCACAGCCACTGTCTAACCACAGGGTTTGCCTGATACTGATCACAGCGTTGATAGCAGACAGGCAAGCCGGAGCCATGCACTCAGTGCAGAAGGGAAAGTCTTGAGACTGCTTCAGCCATCTGCCAGTGGGGATCTCTTTTTTCACACCTTACTTAACAAGCATGCACCCCTTTCACAGCCTCATCATCGCTCTGTTTTCCAGGAGGATGAATACATCAATATTGAGAGTGATCTGCATGAAAAGAAACGTGACTCAGTAGATGATGAGCAACCACGCTTGAAAGGGTAATGTCTTTCGGCTGAGTAAGTTTTTCCACTCCATCCTGACCTAAGCAATAAGCTGCCAGTGTTTCCGCTTCTGGAGCAACTGCTCTAGATTTCACTGCTATACCCCTATGCTACACAGACCTTTGTATTGCCTAGCAATTTGTGTAATACAGAAACACATTGTATTTAAAATTATTACACCTTTCAGCTAGCACATGTGATCATGGAACTATCCTTCTAAAACCTTGCAAATTAAAGGAGCAATATTTTTTCTTTTCGTACATTAACTACTTTTCCAATATTTTCATAGGAGCCTTTTTTAAAGAGAGGTCTTAAACAGTGATGTCTTTCAGGAAGTTAAAAGATTCACTATTGCCTTTCAGTTTGCATAGGTATTTACCCCAGTGCAAAAGAAGAATAGAATAGCTATGAAAAAAGCCATTTTGATGGAGCAGAATTTTTACACTTCGTTAGCACTGGTGCCAAGTGAACACACAGTGAAAACACACATCTACATTTTGCTTGAGGATTAGTTTTTTTGATGAAAACTACAAACCCTGTATAAGACATTAAAAAAATTACAACACAATACTTAAAATTGTGTTTTAATGTCTTAGTGTTTTTCTGTCATGTTGAATCTTTATATACACCTTCATAGAAATCATACTATACTTTTCCCCTGATTTCTATGACTGCATTCTGTTATACAGCACACCATTTCAGCTTTGAACCTCTCTTTCTATCAGCAGATTCTAGCAACTTACTTACTGGGTATCTCAAATAGGAGTTTGTCTACTCAAATTGGAAAAGATCTCATGCCTGTACAAATGATACACTTATATACAGAAGTAATTGTGAAGATGTTAATTATGCTTTTGCATTGTACATACAGAACTTAAAGACTCTTAATATGATCAGGTTTACTGATGCCATCACATTAAAATACTACTTCAAAGATCTAGCAAAAGTGTTTAGAAGTCACTTGAATATTCATTCGTTTCTCCGCTCTGTTCTTTAGAGATTTGTCATTCCTTTAGCAGTACATAACATGAAACACTTTCTTGTTTAAAACGATTAGCAAAAACAAAAGGTGATATTTGATAGATCTAACAGCCAAGTTTGATAAGCCTCTCCAGTGGCAGGTATCCAGTGTCTCCCCAGAAGTAAGCTAATTGCACAGGCAAGTGTTGGTACACAAATGGCTGTACAAGGTTAGTGGCATCTCTCCCCTTCAAACCTGGGCCCACAGGACTCACTCAACAAGAGGCATCTCTGCACAGAGATGGATTGAGTTGGGGCAGAGATGAAGCCTGTACGGTTTTTATTCATTCTTGTTTATTTGTACTCCCATGGAGAGCCAAGGGATAAATAAGATTTAATTCACAGGGCTTACTGTTTCCGAGGTCCCCTTGTTCTTTCAGCAGCAGCAGGTACTATTGTCTCGGGCAGCGAAAGCTCCTTGTAGGCTGGAAGCTGAAGAGCACTTTGTTCTATTCCGATTGCACTCAGGCTACGGCTTGTTCTGTGCTCTTCGGTCTTGCACTTTGTCTAGGTTTATTTTTATGTTGAGCACCTGACAAGGGCAATGATATCTCTACCAAGTTTTGGTTTTTTGTTTGGTTGTGGGTTGGGGTTTTTTTGTAAATTAGCTCCTAAAAGCAGGCACTAATGTGATCTATTGTCTTCCTTGTATCTGCTCAAAAGGGACATTCACAAAGCCTGCCTCCATTTTGAATGTGTCATCGATCAGATAGCACTGAATAGCCTGTGGTTCGAGACACAACCCCTTTGAAAGATCAGTCCGTTGATTAGCAAGGATTCACTACACGTACAAGATGTTAACACTCATTTATAGAGTACATGCAGACCAGAAAAAGGATTTCTGAGTTGCAAAATGCAAGCAAGAATAGTTTTGGCATATACAAGTATTTCACGTTAAAGTTCTCCTTTAAATGTGCTTAAGTGATACCTGTTTTTTCAATATCTTTGGTTCAGTAAAATCCATCAGCAACATGCTGCACTTCAAGCCTACAGGATCAGCTTGTAGAAGATACTGTTTCCTTAGTAAATCAACCAGATTTCATAAAGAAGTTTTTTCTGCCACCTTTCAGAACAGAGCTGCATGCATGACATAAATGCCTAAACATTTAAGATGTCCTCGTACCAAAGTGATAATCACCTAAATTAATAAAATAACAAGGGAGAGAGAGATGTTAGAGCAAAGAAGAGATTACAAGGAATTGTAATCTTAAAATAACAATTTTAAATCCCAAAGGACTCATAAATAGCAGTAACAGGTAGTAGATAACATTTTTTCCTTTTTTTTTTGGTTGATGGACAAACTGTAAATTTTATAAAGTAACTCTGGCTTATTCATGCATCTGTCTCTCATTTCTCCTTTTCTTCCTTTTCCTGTTGTATCTAATCTCTCTGCTAAGATTGTGTAGATAACCTAATGTTCTTACAAAAGAGCTGTGATTTATGAGGCAACAGAAATTCCCAGAACTAGAACTGAAATATCAAAAGCAATCAAGATTTCTCAGAGACCCTGTTACTCTTTTTACTGGTGAAGGAGTATGTTCCTGCTCTGCTGTTCTGAGTGCTGATATGAATTAAGTTAATATCCTTGTTTCTCTCCAATTTCTTTTAAATTAATCGATTTTTTATTTAGCACAGAAAAGAAGGGTATTCATGCTGAGTTTTGGTGTGCATCAGAATCCAGCTGCATCCAGTTTCCAAATAAGTACAGTCTGGATAATTAGCATCTCTAAATATAATGTTGCCTTTATAGACTGTAGGGTGTGAGGCACCGCTTTAGAGACAGAGCTATAGCTATGATTTGTTTTTCAGCTTGCACAATACGAGGGTGTTTATTTAGCTACAGCTTTTGTAACTGAAATACGTCCTCGTCACCAGCATACTTAACATGGGACATCTGTGTTGAATTAAATCCCTTAACTGCTGTTTCCCTAAATTTCAGCCTCCCTCGTGAAATCACTCTGTGTTACACTTAGTGAGATAAGAAAAGAACAAAAGTGAAGTATGTAATGACTGGAAGAACAGATACTAGAATAGGACATTCCAGTATAACAAATAATTTTAGCTTCCATGAACTGATGAGTCTTAGATGAAAAGTTAATGTAACTAAAACCCAAATTTTCAAATATCCAGAAATATCTATGCACACTGTAATAAGGTTTTAGGTGGATATTGGTTATTTTGCACACACAAATGCAACCTTAGTCCTTCAAAAGTACTGCTCCACATAGAAATGCTGGGCTGCCTGTATTAACAATCTTTGTGGGTCTAGTAATGGGCACTGAATCTTTAACTACCTACCCAGTTTGCACTAACCCCTTTAACAGACCTCCTCACAGAAGAGCTGTACTTCAGAGGCTAGCAGAACTAGCCTGCTAACTTCAGCCTGTTAGATAGTTGACAGATTGGCCTATTAGATACCTGCCAGAATTTCTTTTTTGCTTGTCCAACATCAAACCAAAGAAGTTCCCCCCCCCAAAAGCTCTACAGATGTCAGCACGATTTTCTCTGGCACTTTGGGATCCAAATCTACCCCTTACCAAGTGCAGCATACTCCTGTGGAGAAATTTTGATAAATTTAACCTGATCTCCCTGTGCAAATTGCTCTTCTTTTTTATCTACAGCTTAAGTTTCTGTTCTGGGTTTTGTTTTGTTTTGTTTCTTTTTTCCATAGGCATTTAGAAAAGAAATATGATAAAGCCTGTGAATTTTGCAAGAAACATAAAACCAGAATTCACTATGTGATCTATGGAATTTTAATAACAGGTACAGTATATTACATCCAGGGTTGCTGAAGCCTTATTTATTTACCTATATGAGATTATAGACTGTGCCTGTCTTCCATTTGACACAAAAACTCTTGACTGTCCTAAAGAATGCATTTGAAAGGAGGTAAAAGTGAATTAAGTCCCAGAGAAAGCTCCAGATTGCAAAACCTCCACTCATTCCCAAACTTAACAAATCCACAGATCTTGCTACACTGCTCCTCTAGCATGTTTGAACACTGACTAGCAGTTACATTTGGGATAGAAAGGTGGTTCAGTCTTTGTGTCTACTCCATTACCAGCCCCCTTCAACAGGCCTGTTAAATTAGAGGTTTAGGAATTTGCCCAAACCCATGAAATCACATTAAAGACTCAGGCACCAGCTTGGACTGAACTTAAGTCAGCAGGCTAGAAATGGAAGTTTTCTTTTCTGACCCATATCACTCGATATCCATAGCAAATGTTTACTAGAGGAAATGTGTTTTATGTCAGCACGCGCTGCAAAGTCATTCAGATATTCTGCTTTGTCCCTTTCCTAATTAGCCAGTAGATTGGTTTGTTTTCATTCCAGTTCACCAAGTTTCATTTTGAGATCCTCCTACTTGAACACTAAGAACATGTAGACCTAAAATATGTCTGTGTGATAGCCATCAGCATACCATAAAGTCGTTATAAAAGGGCCACTTGCATGCTGAATATCCTGCCCACCTAGCATCAGCTTGTCTTGCTTTGTCATAGTACAGACATATCCTGGCTCAAGAAAGCAAGTGACTTCTAAGGATATGTCAGGGTTTCAGACATTATTTCTATTAAAAAAACTTGCCTTACAAAAATCAGTAGATCTTCTTCCTTATTTGCCAGAGACAAAATCAGAATATTATTTAAAAGAACTGAGTATTTAATTGGCCAGCACATATTAGCAATGAACCTGCCAAATGGCAAATCATTCCACAGCTAGTTTATGAAATAAAATACTTCTAAGCTTCCCAGTTACTTGAGAGGGCCATCAAATCAGGCAATTGACAAATGTTTCTAAGTGTTTCTTCTAGTTTGGTTGGATAAACTCATCCTCCTGTGAAAGAAGGAACAAGAGCCTTTGTTCTTAATTCACAGTTTTTTAGTGAAGCAGTTCTGTAGTTTAATTTTCCCAAGTGATTAACATGTTTGATATGAACTTGGCTTGGCCAAAGCATATAACCTGCTCTGACAAGATGAAAGCCACCTTTCATATCAATGCGCATATCGTAAGTAACAACACTATCTTATGAAAGCAAATTTTTTCAGTATTTAGGCCAAGAGTCAGAAAAGCACTTAAAAGATAAACACAGGCCTGACTTTAACCACATCCTTTAAATTCAAGATTTGATTGTTTTTAAAAAGACCAACCTAACAGACATGTATATTCTTGTTTCTGTGACAGCATACTTGGCAGTAGTTATTGCAGCCTGCAGCTTGAATTTTCAGAGAGCCTTGCCACTCTTTATCGTCACTGTCCTAGCCATATTCTTCATCTGCTGGGATTTTTTAATAGCTAAGTATGAAGACAGAATTGCTGCATTCTTTTCCCCTGGAGAAAGATATCTGGAGAAACAGTGGTTTTGGCTGAAATGGTAAATATGAATTACTTCCTATTTATGCAGAAGAACAAAGCATTAGTCAATTTACCCCTATAGTTTTATTTCAGCTGACACCCCCATAAGCACAGGGAGATGGATCGTACAAATTGCAATAATATCAAAGAATACATACAGAATAATTAAACATTTTCCAGTTTCTAGGTGTCAGGCACACCTTTAAGATTGCAGTACAATAGGTAGGTATCAAAAATCTTGACAGAAAGTGTAAAAAAATTCCTCAAATTGAGATAGGACAAGTTTGTGGTTGCAAGAGAACATGTTCACAGAAGTTCAGATGTGTTGTAGCCTTCTGCATTCATTCTGCAAGCCAGAAAGTGCCTCACTGTCACTTGTTCAGAGAGCTGTGAGGTTTGTAAAAACCTTAACTCTAGCATATGCAAACTGCTAAAGACTGAAGTATGTTATCTAGACACTACTTTTTCACATATTCCCATAGCAATTCTTACTTGACCTTCAGGAATCAAAACATGCCAGCCACATTTAGTGTCATAATAAGATCATACAATCTTATCTGGGATGGTAGACATTCATCTGGTACATAAATTGTAGATACTTAGGCCTGGTAGATACTTATTTCAAGTATTCCTGAGCAATTCCTGAGGAATATTTCAGTTATTTCTGGGAAAACAGCGAGCCAAAGGAGGCTCACAGACCAAAGAAAAGACCAAATGAAATCTCATTGAAAAGGAAAAGGAAATTGGGACATGCTTTCTATCTCAGCTGGGAACACCTTCTATTTGAGAGAGAAAGAACTCTAAGGAGGAATCATTCTGGGTTCTGGAAGATGTCCCAACTTATTCTCAAGATTTTGAAGTGATTTTGCCACGGGACCAGGAATTTCTAAGAAAGATGCTATAAAGATTGTGATCCTTCTGCTCAGGAGCCACATTAGAAAGCAGTCATACACAGGCACCTCCATTAGATGATCTGGCAGGCTCTTTAGGGAAAGGAGCAAACAGAACAGGAGAGCCCTGACGAGCAGATGGAACAAGACAGGGGCAATAAGTGCTGGGCTGCAATCCTTAAATTGTACATATCACAGATTAAGTGCTTCACTGTAGGTCACGGGTTCCTCCAAGAGACAGAAAATCTCCCAGGTGTACAAAGTGTTATTCAACATTGCAATGGCCAAGCCATTTTGTGGACTTGGCCTGCAATATATTTAATCTAGGTCTAAAAATGGAATTTAGGTATCTACGTACCAGTAAGATCAGTGGAAGCTAAACAACTTTTAGACACAAGTAACGTTAAAGAACTGTGTCTATGTTTAGTTTTCCCTACTGTAAATACAATGATGTATTTCCTTGCCTCTCAGGCTGTTGTTGTGATAGTTACCTTCAATATGCAAGCTGAACACGGTTCTGTGATACTGAGCACCATAGAAACACTGAACACAGATGTACACATGGCTTTTTTAGTTGTTTCTGAGATAGCTAAAATTGTTGTGATTAAAACTTCTTTTTCTAAGCAGACTATAGCAGGTTACAAAGAAGTAAATAGTTTGTTACATGCTCCTCAATAGTATGTGTTTCATAGGCCCACCACTTAAACAGCACAGTGCAATTCATAAAAAACACAGCCTGTCTTGCCCAGAGCTAAGAAAAGATTCAATGAAGACAGGAAAGGAAAAGGAGGGTGGAGTGAGAAAGGAGGGTATCTTCTCACACTTCATTTAATAGAAATAACACCCAGACAAGAATCACTCATGCTTTACTGGGTTTCCCCAAATTCTGGCTTTGGGGACATAGTTGGAAGACATTTCTTCTGGATGCCACCAAGGGATGTTATTGTCACAGTTGCATCAGCAAAGGCAGGTTCCTGCTTGTGTAGAGCTACACATTTCAGCTTACTACATTGCTCAGAGAGTTTATTCACAGGCAGAGTTGTAGATGTTGTGGGGAGGGGAAGGGGAAGGAATATCTGGTCTTCTTCAGGATGTCATGCCTGACACTTTTTTTTTTCCTAGGGTGTTGTATGCAGCTTTTATTATAGCTATCATCTGCTGGCTCATCTTTGACACAGCAAAACAGGGATCCCGCCAACTGATCTCCTTTGGTGGGCTTGTGCTGTATGTTCTCTTGATGTTTATCTTTTCCAAATATCCAAGCAGAGTGAGTATTTAGTCCATGTTGGACCTTTTGGGTTTTTTTTGTTCAATGTCTCAAAAGCTATTACCCTACCCTAGCACCAAGTTCAGTAAGAGTAACAGCAAACACATGAACATCAAAATTTAAGCTTGCCAAAACCCAGTGAGGTATTTAATTTCTGATGAAAGTAATTTTGTTCTGATGTCTTGGGGAGCATGTGTCAGGCTGTACCAGAATCTCTTAGTATTTTGGGATGCCACTGCCCATCCTTTGCTCCAGCCCTGATGCAGATTGGGATACTTTTGCTCCTGGAGCATTGGTGCAAGCTGAGGCAGGCCTGCTCCATGCTTCCCACCCACAGGAAGCTCTCTGCAGTTGTCAGGACATCACTGGCACTTATTTGAGGACACTGTCATCACATCAACACAAATCGCATGGAACTGGAGATGTGCTTCCCTCGTGTAGCTCTTAATACCTCACAAGTCTGATTCCCACTGCACATGCAGCAGCTGACTCCAAGCCGAGGTCCTTGCTTTTCACTAACCCACTCTCATAGACTTGTCAATGCCATTTATTTTAATTTAATAAGATGTCCACTCTGTACTGCTGTGATATTACAAAGGGGTTACTTCAGCTGCCACAACTCCCACCTCAGCTTTTACCCCTGAGTGCAATAGCTAGTGCATAGTGCATGCTTTCATCAGTCATGTATTAATCCATCGTCCAGGTCACCAAGTTTCACCAACATTTTTTCAACACTCCTGCATCAGTGCTGAGACCTTCTTAACGGAAAAAATCCCCCCCAGCAGGGACTAATGGACCTGCTGTTCCCCATCCTTTACAATTGCTGTTGTCTCCAACTGAGGTGAAAACTCATGTGCTCTTGTGCTCTCCCATGGGTCCTCATTACACCTAATTGGCTTGTGTTATTCAGATATCACCTGAATAAATTAGACAGTGCCATCTCAGCTCTTTGCCTTGTAAATAATCAGATTCAACTTTCACAAAACAAAGATGTTTTCTGAGGCAGCAGAAGAGAAATCTGCAGCGTACTGAAGAGGGACCGGTCACAGACAGCCACTGTTTTTCCTAACACTGTCTTTATGTCATATGAATCACAGTATCTAACTATGAGTAGTTCTCGAGTATCAAAAGCATCCCTCTTTAAAGCTGGGGAACAGAAACAAAATTGAAATTACCAAAGCACACAAAAAAACCCTGTAGCAAAACCTCCTTATTCCCAGTCCAGATACGTGAAGAATCTGCATGCTCAATTACGTTTTTTTTAATGTTTCCATTCCAGTTTAAAAAAAAAAAAAGAAGAAGAAGAAGAAGAATGTCTGCTGCCCTCATTTATGTCTATTTCATCTATAAACTGTAGAACAGGGAGAATTATCTCTCCTTTTCCTACTACTTGGTTACTTGCAGTCTGTGATGGTGAAATGGGCATGTCCACACTTACCTAGCCAGGCTTTCAGCAGCTAGCTCAGATGGAGACATCCACATCGCAGAGCTCTCAAATTAGGAGAGGTGATTCAAGCTCCAAGTCTTGCACAACCTGTTTTGGCAGCTGCTCCTATCCTACCATATAGTCAGACAGTACCCTTACATTATTTTAACAAACATCTAAAGTAAATTATTATTTATTTAAATAACAAGTGGTTTCTTTATTTTTATTTTTCTGTCCATCTAGGTTGCTTGGAGACCAGTATTTTCAGGAATAGGAATGCAGTTTATTCTTGGGCTTCTTATTCTGAGGACCAAAGTGGGGTTTGCTGTATTTAACTGGCTAGGCATTCAGATACAGGTAAGCTACTGGGCAAAAAATTTATTTTTTGTATACATTTCTGTCTTGAGACTCTCACATAACAGCTAGACAATTCAAGGGTCTGTTTGCCCTGGATGTTTTCCTGTCTTGAGAAAAAATGAGTTCTTAGAAAGGTAATTGACTACCTGAATTAATTTCTTTTTTGTCTAGTCCCACAAGACCATGTGGGACAGGCTGATGAGTAATGGCCAAAGTGACCCTGTTTCTTAATGGCTTTACCATCCTTGGCCTGAAATTGTAACTTACATCTCCATTTTAAACTGTATCATTAATTGCATATGTTGGCATCATGAGTATAAATATTCACCACTGTATCAGAATTAAAAAATTCATTTTTTTAGGCTAGCTTTTGGTTACTCCTTTCAAAACTCATTACTTCAGCCATTAAATCTCCATTTTAAACTGTATCATTTACTGCACTTATTTGCATGAGAGGGAGTGTAGAAATGCACCACTGTATCAGGATTTAAAAAGAAATTCTTCTTTTAGTATAGCTTATGGCCTTTATTGTGTTGGATACTGCAGGAAAATATGCCCTATGTCCTTGCTGTTTATCTATGTACTCTGAAAGCAGCCTGCATTCTTGGCAGAGCAGAGCAGAGACCCTCAGTTCGGCCAGACACTGTCAGTGAAGCCTGGACCCATACAGAGCAGAGCACAAGCTCCTTGGACCTCACCAGATCTCTGCAACACAGCTAGCAATATTTGCTTAGTTTTTGGCAAGGACCCGAAGCTTATGGCTAACTTTCTTTGCTTTCTGTCCCTAGACTTTTCTGGAGTACTCTGATACAGGTGCTAAGTTTGTGTTCGGTGAGAAATACATGAATCATTTCTTTGCTTTTAAGGTAAGTCAGGTTTTATATATGCTGTACGTGGCAGATAGACAACAGAAAAAGGAACAGTATGGCTGGGAAATAAATTCATTGTATGTCTTGTGATATCAGTGCAGTGACCAGAGAAATCAGCTAAGAAGTAAACTATTCCTTACTGTGTGACACTCCAAACAGAAAATTTGGGAACCCCATATAAAGCCCTTCATTTACTGCTGTACACTGGGTTAGGTTACACTTATTTAGTCTAAGTATAACAACATATAATACAAGTAGATAGGATTTTGGGATATGGTTCTACAAGGAATAGGTTAAAAGGCTCCTACCTGGTCACTGAAAGAAATATTACCTCCAGCCTATCTTCCCCACGTCTCCACAAATAAAGGTGCTATGCTGTTCTATCCCAAACTGCTGTGCAGACCACTGCCTCACAGACATCACCCCTGTAGAAGTGGAAAGCCTAGATATGCACTTAAACCAGGTAGAAGGGGTAGAAGCTGCCCATGCATAAGCAGGAAGAATTACATGACATTATTATTACATTAGTAAGATCCCAGGGAGATTTCACCGCTCTCCTTTAGAGACCTTGTCGGGAAACTGCTGGAATACAGCTTATGTGCTCTGTGCTCTCTAACATGCACCAGCATCCTGTCTGGTTTTACTCACACACATAGCCCATGCTATAATACATGCTTAGGCTGGAATCAAGAACATATAAAGCAAAAAAAAAACCCAAAACCCCAACCATGAGAAATGTATCAGGACGTTCTCAGAGATCATCCTTCTGTCTGGTATTTCGGACACCTGACCATGGGCTTACACACCTTTTATCTGTTTTTTCTTCTGGAGGTGATATTCCAAGCTGGATATTCTTCACACTTAGCTCTTTCACTATTTAAGAAAGAAGATGCTACATGTAAAATATGTTGCTAATAAGAACAGTCAGAACATCTTAGAGGGGAAAAAAAATGAAGCACTTTATGAAGAAATATAAACTATATTTTAATCGCAGTATTTTTGTACCTTTTGTTTCACTTTCCAGTGTCCTCTGACCTTTACTCTATTGAGCACTTATATGACAATTTGCATTCACAATTACAAATTTTGGAGATGAAATGGTTTTAATGCCCACCCCCAATGCTATTTTTCCTGTGTTTTTCCACAATGCCTTATGAATATTATTTTTTTCAAGGTGCTTTTTAATGCCTCAGTGCTGATGCAAAAAACTTTGCTGACTAAAGCCATAACCAGGGATCAGACAGTCAAAAATTTGCTTCTGTGTATGCACACATCCATCAGTCTTATTCTATGGGATAAGACAGCAGAAGACATGTGGAGTTTCTGGAAGAGGATAACAAGGACCAGTAGGTTATTTTCACACTGAAAAACAAGAAAGCAAAACCCATGAGTTGATTTTCAGAGCTGCATATGTCTTGGTATAGGAATATATATGGTAAACAGAGTGGCAGACAAGTGCACAGCAACACCAAAACATGCTCCATCTGGTCCTTATGTAGAAAGTGATTTCTCTTTGCCAATATCAGTGACAGCAAGCCTATCTCCCTTGAAATGCTTGTCATTTATTTAGAGATTAAGATGGTCAAAAGTGCTTTTTTGTGTCTTTCAGATATTTTATGAGGTTTGCATGTAGTGCTGAGCTGTCCAAATCTTGCCCCTAGATATTTCAAAGTGCCCTCCAAAAGAGAAACAGCTCAATCTTGCCTTCACTCTTGAGAGAGAGTAGAGAAGTGGTAGGGTATGTCTTTGCAGAAAACTGTCAGAGCCCAATTGTATCCATACTGTATCCTTAGTAATATGCAGGGACACCTCAGTTTTCTGCTAACTTGGACACAGTTACCAGATCAGACACATCCCTTGTGTGCACCCACTGGGCATTCTGACCAGTCCCACCACAGCCTTTGAGCACACAGTTTTGGAAGCACTGATTAGTCATAAATACATCCATGTGCATGCATAAACTGGGTTATTTTAAATGCGTATTTATGTATGTAGATGCAAAGTTTCAGAGTTCTGAAAAAAACACTTGCCCACATAAACAAGCACCCAAATACTTAAGTAGTTAGAAAAAACCTCTTAGTACTAAGTCATCTATCCTGTTGACTATGAAAGGCAAAGTTTGCTTCGAGCAAGTGGGAAATGAGACTTCTGTTATATCAGTAGCACCCTTTTTATGCCAGGAGGATTATAGCTCCCTAAGAAAGGCTTTACTTTGAAGGTCAGGCTTTAGGAGTGTCTGAATCCAGGATGTTCCTTAAACATCAGTAGCAACTTCTCCTTTAAAGAAACATAAGGAAGAACCTAAACATCAAGCCACAAATGGGAGAGGAGTTGTGAGCAGCCAACAATTTCAACTCTCTGCACTGCACGTAGCATAGGCAGTAATGATGATCCGGAAAGTAGCTCTTTAGTAAGGTCAAACCATATTCCAGAATTTATAATAAATATGAAATCACCCAGTTTATAAAAAATACAAATTAAAGAATTTATTTTCTTAGAGGTTATATTATGGGAAGAATTAACTGCAACATTTGTAGGCCACATCATAAATGTAATTCTAAAGAGCTCGTTGGTACAAATTCTCCATTGCATTATTGTGGGATTTTTCAGAGTTCTTGTTAAATTTATTCATCAGTTAAAACTTGACTGTTTAAAGGTATGTAGTAGGTATCAGGAACTATACATACTGGAGACTAAATTTCCACACAAGTTTGTCCACAGATAGAAATATAACTCTAATAGTTTAACCATGCAGTATAATTACACTGCAGGACCCATCCACTCCTCCCATATGGAAACAGGCTAGCCCTTTTTGAGGAGTAGGCCTCTGCTGCAGCTGAGGTCCATATGACTTCCCTGTCATATTTACTTTTGTGGCTCTCCCCGCACTTTTCTCAGAGTTGACAACTGTCTCTACCTACAGGCTGTAATGGTGTGTGTATATCCAAATTAAACTGGTGGATTTTTTAATGGCAGATGCAAGTTGGAGACAATCTCTTTGTCACCTCTTGTTCAGAGTACCCACATCTTTGAAGCAGACTCTGCTGCTCAGAGGGTAAGGGCACTGCAGCAGAAAGAGGGAACTGGAAGTCCATGAGACAGAAGAATGAGTTTTAAGAGCTTTTCTTTTCTTAAAGGCAATTTCATGCAATCAGTGCATGTTTTTTGAAAAAAAACAAAGGGGACTCTTGACCTTTTATTTCCAAATACATTTCACATTTAACCAAAAAAGGAAACACTGCCAGTTAAGGCTGGTGTTCCACCGTGACCTTCCCCTGCTGTGCAGATCTTCTTACACACATAGGGTGTGCGTCAGCCCCATAGTTACAGAGGGAAGCTGTTCTCAGACTCCTTGGATCATCCCCATGCCCCCTTTTTTCCTAACAGTCCTGCTTCCGTGTACATATGACTGTGCCCTGATCCCCTAGCCCTCCAGACCCCTCCTCAAATACAAAGGTTTGCATAGTCCATTCCCCTCCTCATCTCCCCAGATCCTGTACCCGCAGCTCCAGCAAGGCTGGGCTCCTTCCACCCTCCCCAGACCTGCTCCTAGCCTGGGCTCCCTTTGCCCTCTGAGTGCTTCGCCAGGTGCCTGACCCTGGAGCACCACCAGAGCTTTCCCCTCCCTCTCCCATGCCCCTGCACAGCTCTTTGCCATCGAGGTACTGCCTGGACATGCACGCCCTGCTACCCAAGCCCTAAGACCCACGGAAGGAGCCCTCTGATGTTATTGACCCCATGTCACCTACTCCCCTGGTTTTGGCACCGCAAAGAGGGGGAAGGAGAGGATGGGGAGCAGAAGAAGACACTCCTGCATCAGTTTTCCCATCTTGTCCCACCCGCAATGTGCAACCCACATGGGCCCAGCACAAAGGCAAAACTCCTCTCAGGGCTGGTGGAGAGAACGTGGTTCCTCCGTATAGACATGGGACAGAAGGAGTTTTCCTGAGGCTGTTCTCTCTCCCAACTTTCAAAACCACTGACTTAACACTTCAGTGTATTAACACCATGGGGAGCCTTTCTGTAAAAGAGTTCTGGTTTTTTTCAGTTGAACTAGTTGTTTCGTGTTTCAAGTGCTTTTCATTGCATTTATCTCTGCAGACAACACAACTGAAACCCCACCACAATGCCATGTGTTGCAAGTAGCTTATTAACATTCTGCTTATTTTAGAGTAATAATTTGCCAGTGCTTTCCACGTGATTTTGTTATGCCTTAGATAAAAGCTAGTCTGGACATGACAAATCATTACAATTACTTGTAATTAAGTGGTTGCTATGCTTTTCTGATGAAGACGTAACATAACAGATACCACATTAAGTCACTGGGGATTAAGGCAGGAGCGTTTAGTTATAAAGTAGTCCTCAACTTCTTTATGCAGTTAAGGCACAAATGATCACAACTGGAAAACAAACTCCCTGTTTTGTAAAGAAAAATGTTTCATCCAAGAAATGCCTGCAACCGCAAAAATGGAAAAACATGTTTTAAAGTTATTTAAGGTATTTTCAGAGGAATGTGCACAAGAAACTTGTCAAAGGGTGCCAGCTGCCACCCAGCATAGGCACAACATTGTCTTCTCACTCCTTCAGCTAAAACCAAACCACAGCTCTCAAACTGGAGAGCTTTTCTCATCCATTTGGAGTAAAAGACGAGAGGACACTTGCTTATGGTTTTTACTGTCCGGTACAGACAGCTGACCTTTGCATGTCTGCCCACGGCCTTTCCAGACCCATTTCCCTACAGGCATCGCAGCAGTCCCTACTTGTGCCAGAGTATGAAGTTGGCTAGAAGCCAGATGCCTTTCTGGCTAGCACACGCTTAGGAACAGGGAGGGGAAATGGCAGGAGAAAAAAAGGCAGGGGGGAAAGGTGTTACTTTTTACTGAACTAAACTTTCTGCTATTGCTGCATGGCAAACCACCCCTAAAGGATTGCTAAAAGGATCAGAGAATCAAACTCAAGAAAGCAGCCTCATGTTAACTTTGTTGAAGAGCACAATGGTATCTGTGAATTGCACTCTCTCTTTTCAGTGAAAGTTTCTGATCATCTAAATTGAGTTTCCAAACCTTTATCAAAATTGCTGATAGTACGAACTCTCCTCTAGAAAGCCACAGCTTCTATTTACTGAAAAGGCCTGAACTAACACAGTCTTTTGTTCTTTTTGTTCTGTTCCTTGCTTTTATTTATAATGCGTTATGCCCTCAGTTGAACACACATAAAAGATTCTTAGTGTTAGTGGTACTGTTTTAACTGTAACTGATCTGCCTGCCTAATTTTGAGCCTTTTGGGGGGAATTTTTCTTCATGTTGTACACTAGCATAGAAATGCTGAGATCCTGTGTATTTAACATACTTAAGAATCAAGTGATACTAGTTTTATTTAGGATGAAAAAACACATTTAATAACCCATCAGACAGTGGGTTAGGCATTCATACAATTCTTTTAAATTATATGTTTAAGGAAAACATTTTTCCTTCTGTATCCACTGAAATGTACTTATATTCACTTCTTATATTTAATAAATATACACCTATGAATTTGTTTTTAAACAGATTCTGTCTCTGTGTACAGTTACAGAGCTCTTGAATACTCCACGTTGGCATAATCAATGTTACAATTAAAGCAGAATAAAAGAGGTTTTTCTATAGTGTGCTATTAAAAGGCAGCTACACAGTATGGGTTTTCTAAGGAAGCTGCCCTTGATTCTGTGAAATCAAGTCAGCTACAACCGCAATCAAAATCTCTTCGACTTCTGTTTATATAGCAGTCTAAACTGTGGTTTTTAAACACAGACACAGAGAAGCTGAGCTCTGAATTCTACACCACAGTCCCATTGTATATATTTCTGTTCACTGTTTTCAAAGTCTACAGATGTACATATGCAAGTCTTTTTACGTGCCATTGCCCAGTAAATGTTTGAGCTGACTTAAACATGGCTATAAACTAATGCATATCATGTTAAACCAGACAGTTTCAAAACTGTTGCAGTCCTGTTAGAAAACTATATAGCTACATGAAAAATAGTTAATTCCACCACAAACATAAACAACGAGTCTAGAAGGTTAAAAATTTTACAGCGTAAGTGTAAACTTAATGATGACTTTTCAATACCTTTAAGTATATCTCCAAAAACATGAGCCTCTTTTTCAAAAATTAAATGGCCTACAGAATCAAGGAAAGGAAAACCACTCTAGAAGTGTTAATGATTTTGTGTCTCCAAATCAGGTCCTGCCAATTGTGGTTTTCTTCAGCACAGTAATGTCTATGCTTTACCATATTGGATTCATGCAGTGGCTCATTGGAAAGGTATGAATTTTTGCCAGTAGATATTCATTTGCCTAGTGTGGGACACTTCTTGCACACATGCAGCCAAACTGTAGCATTGGCCCAGACCAAGTTGCTTAGGGGTAGGCATATGAAAAGTAGTTTTTTATTTTTAATGTGGAAATAGTTCCAAATGTTACCACTGTAAAATCCTAACTGGCATCACATAGCACACTTTCCTCCCCCCAACCTGGTTTTATTGCTAACATCGTAGTAATGGTTAGATTTGCCTGGCTAGTTTTAGTGTTCCTGTGTTTAGATCCCATACTTGCTTAAATCTTCCTTTCTGCCTGGCCCTTTCCCAGCCGCTGAAGTGCAGGATGGAGCTTACATCCCAGACAGTGGATTTCTGCTTTCTACTAAGCATTGCAGTAGCAATTGTGTATACCTTCCTATCACAGATCCCCAGAATAAGATCAGAGGCTGGTTCCTCACCTCATGCCCTAAGTGTTCATTTCTGTCAGCTCCTGTGTCCAGTGCCAGTGACAACTAAGATAAGAGCAAGTCCACAAAAGTCCATTTTCTGCCCTGTCCACCCAGTGTACTTAACATTGAGCGAAAAGATCTTCCTGCATGGTGGTAGTTAAACCTCATTTGAAGATAGTCTTAAGAAGTCCTTTGTCCTTCTCATTCACAGAATTGTTACATAAACACCACAAACTTCACCTAGCTGAAATACTGTGCTAAAACTTCTATGAGGCATTTTTAGCCTTAATCTAAATTTCACCTTTTTTATCTTCCTATGATCCAAGTCCTTTGGACAGATACATAAGTGATAAGGACACATCAAAATACCTGCTTTGATTAATTTAGTTTAACAATTTAGTGCCCAGGAGGAGCTTGGGGTACTCTCCATTCTGTTAAATTATTCCTCCTCTGGCTTATTTCAACATGCTACTATTAAATGAATGTCCCATATCTTGAAGCTGAAATCATTAACTCAGGAAATATTGTAAGGTGTCTCAGAACTTTTACATTGACATGATTAATTCAACAAGTGCATGGAATAGGCAAGGCCAATGTGTTTTGTTGTTTTTTTCTTTTAATCATTTTAGGTTGGTTGGATAATGCAAATTTTCATGGGGACAACTCCTGTTGAGTCTCTGGTAGCTGCGGGTAACATATTTGTGGGACAGGTGAGTTGGAATATAGAAAAACATGCTAGCACAGGATTACTGAGTATTGTGAAATACTGCTGCTCAGTGAGCATCTGTGTATAAAAAAATCATCATTTCATATGAAGCTAGGACTCCAGTACAGCAGGACAGGTGGTTGATTTCCAGAATTCCAATACGTTCATATGTCAGCAGTGATGCACAATGGGGTGGGTTTTGGAAACCATGTGTTTTCCCAACGGAAGGTCAAGCGTATATGTAGGTCATAGAGCTCTCTTAAAAAGACTGCCAGACTACTCCAAGGCTGTGAAGAAATAACAATATCAGGTTTTTTTCAATTGAAAAGGCAAATGGTGTGAAAAGAGGGCATATGAGTCAGGCACGGGCAAGAGAGACAGACAATGCAGAAAACTGAGATCCAGGGCTGGCTGTGCAAGGCCTTAGCCACAAAAGCATGGGACAGTCTGGGAAATTCATTAAACCTGCACTACAGCAGTGTCTGTCCCAGGCTTCAGAGCAATGTGGAAAGATGACCAAGTAGCATCCAAGCCGAAAAGCAACATTAGCATATCAGTTATTTAGCAGTGGTGCATCACTATATCCCAGTGCTTCAAGATTTAAACTAGTACCTCTTCATGACACTGCCTCCAGCATGTGCTTGCACATATGCCAGAGGGGCTGGGAGCTTTAAGCTGCCCGTAGTGGCTAGTACACATTTCCCTTGACACACAGCCTTGCCTGTGCTGTCCCTAACTCACTCAGAATTGGATTAGGATTTCTTGGCAATTTCATTGGACCTTTGGGGCAGACATCAAACCAGCAAACATTGTCTTCAGACAAGATGGATGTTGGTACAATTTTCCTTCTTAGGGTAAAAAAAACCCCAGCCTATTAATATTCAGAGCACTCATTAGCACTAAGATTAACTAGTCAAAGACACCTAAGAAAGTGTGATGCAGCCACTTGTTTTTCTGCCCTGTTAGTAAAATAAACCTCTGCGGGTTTGTTAGGAAGTTCTTAATTTGGTAGTTGTTTTTCACTTCCAGACAGAGTCTCCTCTCCTGGTACGGCCCTACTTACCATACATCACCAGATCTGAACTCCATGCAGTCATGACAGCAGGATTCTCAACTATTGCTGGAAGTGTCTTAGGAGCATATATTTCTTTTGGGGTAAGATGGGGAAAGAGAACTGGAAAATACACTGTTGACCTGAAATCAAGTCAATATAGAAGCCCAGCTAAAATGCTTTGGAATTATACCTGAGTCATTCCCATCTTTTTTTTTTTTTTTTTTCTGAAAGAATTAACCACAAAAATCCCCTGTATTCTGACAGTAAAAAGGATACCAAGGTCTGGCCTTCAAGATACTGTTAAGTAGCACAAACACCTACCTAAGTAATGCAGAGAGACTTCCTGCCATAGCTGCATGGAAATGACTGATTTGAATATCTTCCTACAGTCCAGATGAACTGACATGTGGAATTTACTAATTAACTGATCAACCCTCCCACTTCTGTGGCAGTGATATAGATAGAGTCCTTCAGGAACTGTTGCTAGCCATATGACCCTAAAGACCTGACTTGTGACTGAGGTTCTAGTGATGCTGTACAAACATGGGTAGTAAACATCTTATCTGCTAAGGGGCTGGCAACACAAAGGCAGAAAAACAGGGCTGAAGGTGTGATTAATGATCAGAGTCACTGTGGGACGGTTGATAAATATATTAGTTCCATATATGAATAAAATACAGTGGAGAAGCAGAAGTAAGAAGGGATTATTGGCCAAAAAGACCAAGAGAGTAAGAGAAGAAAAGGACAGATGGAAATACTGTAGAAGTTAGCAAAGAAGTTGTTTTGTGTAGAAATTTGTGGAAGAAGGGTTGAAAGAGGAATTGAAGACTTTCTGTTAGGCCAAGTAAATTTTTTTTTTTTAAAATACAACTTCAAGGGACAAAACCACTTTTCTGCCACTACAGAGCACGCAGGGGGTGTAAAGGAAGGCTGGCTGGCTCTCAGTCACCTGCTCTGCAATTGCTACGCCCAGCTGCACTTGATGTACCTGGCTTTTTGTTGTTTCTTTTGCCTTCTGCCTTGCCACTGGAGAGGAGTGAAGCAGTTTGCCTCTTGGAAAGATTACTGCATACTTTCCACTACTTAGACTTTTCGTGTCTCCAGTTGGCTTTTCTCCTGTATTGCTCATTCTCTTCCTTATGAGCAATATGAACTTTTTAATGACCCCCTGTAGAAAAATCATCCAAGCATCTAACAATTTTAATTGCTTTTCTCTATGTTTGTGCATGATGTAGTTATCACAGCATATTTTCTGTCACATGGAATTCTAGGTTTCCGCCTCCCACCTACTGACTGCTTCTGTCATGTCAGCACCAGCATCATTAGCCACCTCCAAACTATTCTGGCCCGAAACTGAAAAGCCAACAGTAACTCTGAGGGGTGGCCTACAAATGGCAAAAGGGTAAGCTGATCTAGGCTCTAGTGAATAGTAACACTGATGCAAAAATGGGGTTTGGAAAAATAACTCCTCACACATAAGCTTTAGGGGTAGTACTTGATAGATGTGCAATCAATAAATTAATTACACACCAATATACCCCAAATGAGTAGTTTGTGCATTCAGGTGCAGCATGGCCTATTACAACATATGGTGGTATCACTACCCATTGGGATAGGCACAGAGACAACAAGGACCTGGGCCAGATAGTAAACTCTCCAGAGAAAGAGGGAAATGCCTACCTCAGGTGAGCCACCACGAGGTTTTTCCATTTGCTCTGTTGCTCTTTGCTTTGTAATAAATCTGTAAATGCAAACATACAAAAGCAAAGGTGGAGCAATCGTTTCAACAATGACAGCAGTGAACTTGTTGGCCATCTGCAGGGAGACTCACTTGCCTTGAGAACAACAGGCAAAGGAAAAACGTTTGTAAGGAGCTGTTCATGAATAGATGGGGAAAGGGGTGCCTGAAAGAAGAACAATGCCCGCTCCCCTGTCGCAGTGGAGCCACAGGCAGTCACAGTACGGAGACCTGATCCAGATCATGCCTAACCCCGAATGTGCCAGAATTCATCCTCAGGGCAACAAAAGCATACCCTCCTACTGGCTCCCATGAGGATCAAGAGCAAAAATCTACTCTAACTCATCCTTATTTTCCCTATGAGTGAACAAACAGCGTCAGTAGTAGTTTTCTAATCAAGTCCATGTAACTTTTAGTTCTGTGATTTGTTCTTGAATTAAAAAATGTTAACACCCTGATTTTCTTTTCATTGATAAAGTGAATCAAAGAACCTGCTGGAAGCAGCCAGTCAAGGTGCCTCTACCTCCATCCTGCTGGTAGCAAACATAGTCGTGAATCTGATCTCCTTCCTTGCCCTGCTGGCTTTCCTTGACTCAGCCCTCTCTTGGGTGGGCAATCTGTTTGACTATCCACAGCTGAACTTTGAGGTATGGTCTCCATGTCCTTTATGCAGCTTATATACATGCATAATTTGTCTTTCTCAAATTAAGTGCCTGTGTGCTTTTGTTGGGGGGGGGGCGTGTGTGTGATTTTTTTTAATATGATCTAGAAATGTGTGTTTTTACATGCATGTTCTTGAAAAAAATCTTTACAGCCAAAGGAAAATTGTTGCCATGTAAATATTTCTGTATCCATTAGTCCATGTGTACCTTCCCTCTGTGGTGTTCTTGCTAACTAGCAGAGTATGTTTACAGAGCATTGTATGCTAATACCTGCCTCTTCTGACACGGCAGTGCAGCAGATCTGTTGGTTACACACTTGCCAGGCCATTAACATATTCTCCAGCTAAACATTAAAGTGGCTTTAGCTTCAGAGCCCCATCAAGTCCTTAATGCTCGCTAGCTTCACTTAGACAAGGACACTGGGGCAAGTCTGAACCCACACCTACTCAATACCCATTAGTTCTCAACACAATTACATTGTAAAACTGCAGCCAAATCATTCAGCTGAGGAAACAGGTTTTAAACAGGATTTCTTTTTTAACCTAGGTCAATACATAATTTTTTGACCCAGTGCAACCATCTTGGTTCAGTGGTTTTGAACTCTTTGTTTTGCAAGCTCCTGATAAAAGTCCTGTGTGAAACAAGGATGTAACATTGCAATAAAGTGCTGCAGAATTGAATAGGCAGTCAGTCATAGCAGATGTGGCTTCAGCAATATTAAGATGTTACCCTGTGCAGCTTCCATACATTATCCCACTGCACAGACACCCACAGCAGAGATGGAGTAAGATTTGGACAGACAGATAACCCACAAGGAGTGGAGACCCACAGACATGTTGCATTCAGCCATCCATCCCTTTTGAGAGGCACTAACTTCCAGCCTTTTGTGGACAGAGAAACCAACCAGGAATAGTAACTGCTTAAACACCTCAGTTACATTCATTAAGGACAACCTGACAAAGCCCTTTCACAGCTGGAGCTATTTTCTCTCTTATATAAAAATCAGCGATACTGTGATATGGAATTTTTAAAAATTTGCATAGAACTTGTAAAGCTAAGCAAAAAGGTACAGCTTTAGTTATGTCTGATACACAACTTTTATGCAGAGAGAAGTCATTTGTTTACACCAGTTGGAGTCCAATAACCTGGTAATTAAGCATGTTCATTAACACACTTGATTTAATCAGCAGAAGAACTAGATTTCTCAGTTCTTTTATCAGCTCTTTTAACTCAACCCTCAGTCTTTGCTTCAAACACTGTGCCCAATCTGAAGCCATTGTGGGGGGAAAAAAGGCACAGAAACTTGTTTTACCTTAGGTGTAAAATCAGGGACATAGCTAATTATTTTGTTTTATCTATTTGGGTTAGTCTTTTAAAAATTACTCAGGCATACTTCACTGCTAAAACTGCTGTCTCCAAGACATGTTGGCAGTAAGAATTCAAGACCAATTTTCCTCTGCTGATACAAAACCATCCTTATTTTAAATTTAGAGAATTTACAACATGACATTGTTCTTTGACCAACCATATCTTTTGACCTGCTTTGTCTTACATATTTTGCAGAACATTTGTGCTTATGTCTTCATGCCATTCTCTTTCATGATGGGGGTAGACTGGGAAGACAGTTTTATTGTCGGTGGACTACTAGGTTATAAAACTTTCTTCAATGAATTTGTGGCTTATGAGCGCCTCTCAAAACTGATTCACAACAGAAAAAAGGGTGGGAGCATGTACATTGATGGTGTGAAACAGTATATGACTGTAAGTAACATTTTCTATTCTACCGATTTATTGGATCTAATGCTTTTCTGCTGAAACTCAACTTATTTTTTAATAAGGGCATAAAGAGATAATGGCTGCATATTGCCCTAAAGCATGTCTTTCAGTGACAGAGTTCAATTATGAAAATTCAGCATTGCTTTGTGAGGCTGCTGTGACTATCATCACACTAGCTATCTCAAACAAGCATAGCAAAAGGAAGGCATAGTTTTGGGGAACATGCAATGTCTCACAGGACACTGCACTTAAGATGAAGGCTGCCTTGAAGGTGAGTTTCTTCTTACCTCATTCTTAGCTAGCACTTGCCTATGAGATATATCCCAAGAAAATCCTGGGCAAGAACTGGAGGATTCAGTGGAGGATACAATGCACTGAGGAAGAAACCTATAGGGTGGCAATACAAAGGGCGTCCTAGTTGTGTGCACACGGGCAAAGAGCACGCAGTGATGAAGGCTGACCTTTGCAGCCATGACTGCTCCCCCATGCGGCATCCACATGCACAGCCTGTGCTGAATTTGTCCTCATTCTAAGCACAGGCAAAGAGAACCATGATATCTGGCTTTACACCTGCACTGGACTTTCTTCCTCAAATCAAAACAAATTGTCACTGTAGAGTACCCTTAATTAGGAAGCATCCTTTTGTACAGCTTTTATTCTTCATTTAATCTGGTGTGATGCTGTGGATACCTGCCTTACAAAACTGCAAATATGTTCATGACCACTTGTGTTCCTTATTACAAGAACATATTTCACAAGTGGAGGTGGAAAGCCAGGTGGTCTGATCAAATACTCACATGTTTGCCTGAGCATCCATTACCAATGTTCCTGGAACTCCTGGAAATAGGATCCTGGGCTAGATGGACCTTTGATCTGCCCTATTATAATCATGCTATGGTCTAGAAGGGGAATATGGCTCTGAACTTCTGAATGAGTGAATAGGTTTTTTTTAAATCCAGGAGTCAGCCTTAAAATGCAGACCCCATCAACCACATTCCACCTTTTTTTCTTTTTTTTGTTGTTTTAGTAAGATGTCATACAGAACCTCCATGTTCACTTCTAATACCTATAAAGAGCTATATTAACTTCCATAGTAAAAAACTCTAAGATATAAAAATAATTTTGATTCATAACAGAAGTAAAAATTGCGCAATAACCATTTTAATTATGGCACAACACTTCAGGTAAGGGTGCGCTTGACTTCCACTTTTAATTTCTCTTCAGTTTCAGAACCCTCTAACACATCCAGGCACAGATATTCAATCAAAGTGAGCAAACAAGCTGTCTTCTGAACTCAGTAATAACAAGGCTTCCTGTTTTCAGAGTGAGGAAAGTGCAAATAAAAGCAGGGAAATCACAGTACACAAAGCCTTTTCTAGGAAAAGCAGGTAGAGTGGGTACTTGAAAAGCTTTTTCCTGCGTATGTGCAGAGGGATTGAAAATTTCTACAAATTGCTTTTCATAAAACAGTAATGGAAACAGAGAAATTTCTAATAAACAGGAAATGTTCTAGAACACTCACTCAGGCATCTTCAGCTTGGGCCTAAAACACAGTAAATAGGAGTTCAAAGCTGCCAGGGGAACAAAAATCCATGTGCTGAGATATGTGAGGTATGTTGCCTCCTTTCCCCAAATGGTTGAACTGCATTTGTCTAAAGGTTTGCGAGCTTTGTAGCCTGATTTCACCCAAAGTAATTTTGTGTCCCATGAGGGGACCCTCCATGGGGGCAAAGGTCAACCCAAACTTGTCTCTGATATGAGGTCCAGACTGAGATGCTGTTGCCCAAGAGGAGGAAGGTGCCTGAAGGTAGGAAGGAAATAAGTCTCTAATGGGGATTCCAAAATGATAATGTCCCTCTGCCTGTTAGCATATCAAAGCATCCACTCTCTAGGAGACCACTTCCCTTTTCTTCTTCTGTGCACAGGGTGGAGCATGCACAGAGCAGCTTTGCACATGAATCCCGCTGCTTGTTCAGGGACAAAGAAGTCGGGGATATATACCAAAACTTGAGGTTTCAACAGAGTGTTATAGAATCATAAAATCATTTAGGTTGGAAAAGACCTTTAAGATCATCGAGTCCAACCATCAATGATGCCCACTAAACCATGTCCTGAAGTGCCTTGTCTATGTGCTTTCTGAATACCTCCAGGGATGGTGACTCAACCACTTCCCTGGGCAGCCTGTTCCAATGCCTGACAACCCTTTCAGTGAAGAAATTTTTCCTAATATCCAATCTAAACCTCCCCTGGTGCAACTTGAGGCCATTTTCTCTTGTCCTATCACTTGGTACTTGTGAGAAAAGACCAGCACCCACCTCACTACAACCTCCTTTCAGGTAGTTGTAGAGAGCAATAAGGTCTCCCCTCAGCCTCCTTTTCTCCAGACTGAACAGCCCCAGCTCCCTCAGCCGCTCCTCATAAGACTTGTGCTCCAGGCCCCTCACCAACTTGGTTGCCCTTCTCTGGACACGCTCCAGCACCTCAATGTCTTTCCTGCAGTGAGGGGCCCAAAACTGAACACAGGACTCGAGGTGCGGCCTCACCAGTGCCGAGTACAGGGTGACGATCACTTCCCTCGTCCTGCTGGCCACACTAGTTCTGGTACAGGCCAGGGTGCCATTGGCCTTCTTGGCCACTTGGGCACACTGCTGGCTCATATTCAGCCGGCTGCCAACCAGCACCCCCAGGTCTTTGTTTGCCGGGCAGCTTTCCAGCCACTCTTCCCCAAGCCTATAGAGGCAGTCCAGCTATGAACAACAAGCTGAGTTAAAGGTCTCTGACTCATTCCTTCAGAAAACAGCAGCTAAATTGCCACTAGTAAGATAAGAATTATATTTTGTCTTTAATTACTAGTACTCAATTCAACAAGGCACAGCAATGTACATGAAAAATAAAACCATCACATGGTTTATGAGTCCGCACATGGGCAGTGGGTAGGAAAGCCTGCACCTTTCAGCAAGACAATGAGCCTAGCTTGCGGAAAGCCACACACTGGGGCAGCAACCAAGCAAAATGGAGTGATTTCAGTACTTGGAGGCCTGGGCTGCAATACCATGTTTTCAGACCTCTAAATCAGCACAAGCTGTCTCAAACCACTCAACAGGATGTGTGTTTGTTTTCCAGGTTCGCTCTGAAGTGATTGCCACCTATGGTCTTTGTGGATTTGCCAATTTCGGCTCCCTGGGACTGGTAATAGGAGGCCTGAGTAAGAACACTTCTCACAGACAATTTATTTGGCAAGCAAATCCCGAAGAAAACACCCAAATGAACAGGCTGTGGGTGAAGCTTAGCAGCCTTAGGGGCTGAGCAGCTGCTCTGCTGAGACCTAGCACCCAACTGTGCATGGGGGGGTATCCCAGAGGGGCGCAGGCTTTGGTGTGGAGGTACTGGGAGAGGGGCTGAGGGGAAGGGGAGGGGACCAAGCCCTGCCAATAGGCCTCCCCGTCCAGCCCTTACACCATGAACCTGAGCTAGTACAGCCCTTGGGCTTCAGGAGGAGCAAACCATCTCTGTAGCCTGCTGGTCTGAAAGACAAGTTGGCTGTTTCCTGTAAAAATATCACATATATGCAGTAGGCTTATGGGCGTGGGGGAAGGCTTTTCAGATCTCGAGGGAAAAAGAAAAATTGAAAAACCATCTGGGTTCCTCACCGGGCTGGCAGCTGCCTTTACCCTGGAGCCCAGGTGGGCTCCGTGGTACCAGCAGCAGGGCAGCGTGGAGGAGCAGGACCCAGCCACGGGGCCAGACCCCAGTGCTGTGCCTGGGGTTTGCTTCTGAAAGCTGCCATCAGCCAGCACAGATGTGCGAACTGCCAAACCAAAGAGAAGTCTCCATTTTATACACAAGCCACCTTTTTAACAGAAAGCCAACATTGGCATTAGGCCTTCAAATGGCCAATGTCTCATTTTCCCTCCTTTTTTCTCCTAGTTCAAACTGCAGGGTGGGAATTTCTTGTGGTGGGAGAGCTGGCAGGTTCATCTTCTTTGTGTCTATATGTATTTATGTTTGACACACGCTTTTTTTCTTCCTAGCAAGCATTGCTCCCTCAAAAAAGAAGGAAATAGCTGGTGGTGCTTTCAGAGCAATGATTGCAGGAACTGTTGCCTGTTTCATGACAGCCTGTGTTGCAGGTACCGTACCCAAGTTTGGTGTCTCTTACAGTCAGTGACCACAGGGTGGCAGTGCCTCGGTACGATAGACACAGCTGAGCGACTCCGGTCACTCAAACGCTAGTATTTTCGGGTTTGGCAGAATTAAAAGACAATATGCGGAATATGAAAGGTTCCTGAAAACTGGGATATGAAAAGATTTATTTTATTTCTTCCATTATGTCTTACTTCTTTTTTTGTTAGTCTGTGTGTAACACATGGCTCATGAGCAAAGCAAGTTATAGCTGAGTTAAAATCCTTCCTCCACACCGCTAGCTACAGAAATACAGAAGAAATTATGGAGCAGAAACAGAGAAGTGTAACAGAGAAGGAGCGAGGGGAAAGCTGAACAACTTTTTGCCTTAATGTTAAATTGATATTTTGGGCTGGTAGTATTCCTACAGAGCAGTTAAGTTAATGAAACTGTCCTAAGGTGGGACTCAACAGTGGCCAGAATGTTTCATCTTACCATGCTCCAGTGACTGATAACCCCAAGTCTTATTTTCCTCTTCATTAGTCATTAAGAAAATTGTTAATTACTTCACAGGAATGCTGACTGTCCCTGGTCTGGAAATTCCTTGCCACATCTTATTAGGAAACACCTTCAACTCCACAGATTTCCCTGCCAACGGCACAGAGGTAGTTGAATGCTGCCAGCAGCTCTTTACCAGGTATTGAGGAACTCTTTATCCTTCTGTCAGCATAATTTAGGGAGCTCACATATTCTCTAAAAGCCTAATTTTTTTTTTAATTTGGCTTTTTTCTTAGGCACCTGCTATCCATGAACTTGCATCTTTTAAAGAAACGAATATTTAAGGCTGCTGAATTGCTTTCCTTTTCTTGGGCATTTCTCTGTTACATGCCAAACACAAACAGAACCAACAGAGAACTCAAAACATCTTTGTCCAAACCTGAGCTTCCCAGAAGGCTAAAAGATTCAGTGGTCTAGCTCAGGCTCATCTCAAATATTAACAAAAAATAAATCAAATATTTGAACTAACATAATGTTAACATAGTATCTGAGGATAACTAGCTGAAAAAAAGCCAAGATCTTTTCCTTTTGCTGTTTATTAATCTGGCTGAAGATAATAGTAATTGTGCCTGTTTACATAGAAAACTTTACACACATTCAAGGTAGAAAAATATTCTGAGGTAAATTGTATTTGATAATTCTCTATCCAAGATAGAGAAGAAAGAAATAATGGTATTAAATAAGGAGTATATTCAGACATACTTAACACTGCTTCACAAAGAACCAAAGTTCTATGTATTTAGATTATGGCAAGAACCTTTTAAATTTGTCCTAATGTGTTGCTTTTTTTTACATTTGCACAACTAATTGCTTTAGAAATAAGTACTCTAATTCAGCTTTTTTCCATGCTATTGAAAATAGAAGAACTTCATCCTTCTTTTCACATTTCTTTTAGCAAAGACAATGCTCTGACACTGAGCAACAAAAACATACAATGTAAATGTAACCGTGAAGGTGCTGTAATCTAACCTGCAAGAATTCTCTCAACAAAATCTCCAAATGGTGAAATTTTTCAGAATTTTTTTTATTTCACTAGATCTGCCTTCACACCCCCTCGCTTAACTAAAACAGGGTTTTTGTGTGTGTAGTAGAGAGGTATCTTGTTACATCTTCTTAGTGTCAAGACTTGTGGCAACTTGAGATTTCTTGTGGTGTTTAACTCCTCATGTTAGGAATAAAAATTCCAATTCTAACTTCAGGTGATTTTTTTCTCTCTCTATTATTCTTTTGACACACATTTCTTCCTTCTGTGTCTTGACATAAAATGTAGCTGTGAATATGGGCATGTACAATATGTAAGGTGGCCTTATTTTTATGGTAACATTTTTAGATTTCACAAAAAGGTAATTTAAGAAAATTATTCTTGTTGGTATCAAGATCACCAGCTTCTGCCTGAACATCAGTGCTTGCATACCACTGCAAGGAATTTCTGTTCTTGCAACCTCATGTTCCAAATGAGTTTATCATAACATTGAGCCAGTGTCAAAAACTTTTTTGCACAGTAAAAACCATCTGTGATATTGGGTACATTCCTTCACTTATATTTCTTCATCACTCCAACTTTTCCTCCTCACACTAATTTTAACTCTACCATTTTGCTACAAAGACAAGAACTTGCTCTGTTTTCACCAGAATCAATGTTGAGCAAATGCTTTGAAGATGCAAAAACATTGAATAGTGAAGTGAAACCCTCAATCATTTCAGTTATCTAAGAAGATATACTTGGGGCAGAAGGACTTTATACAGAAAACCAGGCATCACCCCAGTAAAAAGGGAGAACATCTGGTCATGGCACATGGCTGGTGTTTGGAAAGTCTTCTCTCTGTTTCATTTCTCATGAAAATTCTAACACATTTAAAGTTGCTTTGGAGAAACTACGTGTGTGTGTGCATGTGTATGTGTGCATATGTGTGTATATATACATGTACTACATATACAGGGGGGGAGGGGGGAGAGAGAGAGATTCCCATAAGAGAAAAGGAGTATATCTGATTTCTGCTTTTGTCTCCTTCTCCAGTGTAAATCATTCACAGGAGATCTTCCCTGGAGGAAACTACAGCCTGAGTTCCTGGAAAGGATGTTGCCAAATACTGCATCAACCTGCTTTTCATTGCACTTGGATTAAGTCTTAATTGGGGGGCCGGGGACAGATCATAAATAAGAGCTGTGTTCCTTGGTAGAAATTTCCTTTTCCACAACAATTGTGAACACCCCTACCCCCGCCTTTTATTGTCCATCTCTTACCAGCCCAATTCCTCTGACTTGCTTGGAATTACTCATAAATTAAACTAGGATAAATGCAAAACACCTCTTTTTGCAAATGTCTTCTCCCATTACAGATCAGAAGAGGAGAACATTTCTGAGCTCGATACTCATGATTTCATTTCTACCCTGAAACCGATGAATCTGTAGAATTAAACTGCTGCAGGCAAGAACAAAATCAGATTCCGAGGATTTTGAGTGTCACTTACAGAAAGCTGTGAACTAGAAATAATAGTTAGAATTGCCATCCATTCCTAATACTATTTCTGCTCTTTTTGATACCGAAGAAGTGGTTTTACTGCACGAAGATAAATGACTCTGTTCTCAGAAATCTCTGCACATTTCTTCTGGTAACTATGGCTGCACATGAACTGAGCCGCTAACATGGGCACCTCACCAACTTGGTCACTGAAGCACCCAAATCAGGGACTAGCCACTGTGTGCCCCAGTCCCCCTCTTTCTGCCCCCAGAGGTATCCAGGCCACATCTTGATCCAGGAGGTTGGCTCCTGTTTGGAGATAACTCATATAAATGGAAATGTCCAAATTCCGAAGAAAGTTTCCTGTATCGATTCTTCTCAATCTTTGTTATTAATAATTGTGAAAATTGAGCCTGGAGTCACCACCCAGGAGCTCAGAGCAGTATTCCTACCAGAAACAACAGAGCTGTGCTGCAAACCAAATGTGAGTAAAATCAGGTCACAATCTGACTACTCCCTGTGAAAGCAAATTTAATAGATCTTGAACACCTCTATAAAATCCTCTTGAAGACAAAAATCTGCTATGTTTTTAAGCTTCAGACCTTTCATGACTCCAAAATTAAAAAGTTGTTTGCAGATTGTTTTGCAAAAGATTGCAATATATATATTCCTATCCTATGACATTGTTAATGCCAAAGACTTGGAAAAAAAGCTAAGAACTGAAGTACAGGAACAAAAGTCCTGACATACCTCCCAAATAAAACTTGTGCAGATAGGAATGAACCAGTCTATTCTGATAAAACAATAACTAACTTTTCAATCTTTCATTAATTATTGCAGAATCTGTTCTGGGAGATCCAGATTCATGAACTTAAAACAGCTACAAGTACAGCTATTTTCAGGGGGCATTTATTTGGAGTTATTGTAAAAGATGCTAGTTTCCTGTAAAACTCAGTTTATTAACTTAATCTTCTGAAAAAAATATAAATACCAGTATTACTACTATTTGTGAATTTTATCATGGGTTTCATATCATTAGGTGCTTTTCTTTGGCCTCATCCACCTAGGCTTAGGAGACTGCATGTCAACCTCAGTTTTTGGTGCTTTTAAAGAATGTTGTTAATCCTGAGTATGGCAGATATAGGCTCAAATATTTTTTGCAAACCTGTCCTAAAAAAACTGCATAGGTTTGGTCCACAATTTTTATCCAGCATCCTGGTTATAGCAGGGTTTAGCTTTCAAGTAAGTTTAGAGTCTGAACTAGAGAAATATATTCTTTCAAGGGAAATTAATCAGAAACATTAACTCTCACTGTAAAGCAGGACACCCCCCACACCCCCTGCTTATAAATCATCACTGGCACTCTCCCTCCTTGCTGTTCCCTAGCATGCTCTATTTAATATTGGTCTTTTGAAATGGCTGCTTTTCCCATTGCCACAATTGTAAGCTGGTTAAAAGGGCTAGTAAGGACAACCATGCATGAACTTCTAAAAAAGCCTCTCATATAGCTTGAGACAGCAGCCTTCCTCCCACAGAAGAGAGGTGGTGTGTTTCTTTTCTTTTTTAGGACTCCTCTATAGCAGGATTACATGGAAGGCAATTTTAGCAGAGGATATGTGACATTGCTCTACCTATACCTGGTCAAAGAGATTGCCCACCTGGTTTGCTGATGACTTAATCAAAAGGTGATATATAGGGAAGGTTGCATCCTAAATGCAAAAAAAGCAGCAAAAGCAGAAGGAGATTGCTAAAAAGTACCATCATGCTTTCAGGTGGCTATTTTCCCTCTGTCCTTGTGATGGTGCTAGGACTTCACATGTGTAGAGGTCCTTGTGTCTCTCTCAACACAAAAAGGGAACCGTGCATTTCACCTGCTTAGCGTTAAGCTGGAAGCTTGGACCCTGAATTATCAGTGCCCAGGAACACATTTCCAACATGATTGCCAGTGACAATGAACCTGCAACACAGACCTGAGAAGAAACTTTTGATTTATTCAAATGCTTGTTAGCACTTGCAGTGCATTGACCCTGGCTGACACCAGGTGCCCACCAAAGCCACTCTATGACTCCCCTCAGCTGGACAGCGGAGAGAAAATATAACAAAA